TAAAATACATCTCAACGTCTTAAAACTATAGAAATAATATGGAGTCTTCTCTCAGACAGCAGCAGAATTAAATTAGAAACTGATAACAGAAATGTAACTTGAAGGTCCCCAAATACTTAGAGACTAAGCAACAGTCTTCTAAATAACACATGGATCAAAGAAAAATAGCATTTTGAACTAAATGAGATTGAAAACACGACAACGTAACTTATGGGATGCAGCAAAAGCAGTGCTTAGAGGAAATTTATACTAGAAAAGAAGGAAGATACTAAATTTAATCTTCTAAGCTTCTACCTTGGAAAACTAGAAAAGGAGATGCCTTAATGCATCTCTTCTATCTGGCTGTTCCTGAGTTAATAAACCAGTAATCCAGTAAAATATTTATTTGAGTTCTTGAGCCCTTCTAGCAAATTAAGACTTGAACAGACTCTTCACTGAAGATAGATGGCCTGTAAGTGTATGGAAAGATGTCCAACATAGGGAATTACAAATTGAAACAATAGTAAGTTACTACTGCATCCCTATTAGAATGGCTTCCCCAAAACACTGACAACACCAAAGGCTGGTGAGGATGGGAAACAGCAGGAACTCTGATTTATTTCTGGTGGGAATGCAAATGGTGCAGCCACTTTAGAAGACAGTTTGATCATTTCTTATAAAATATACTCCTACTGGGATCCAGCAATCACCTCCTTTGGCACACCTTGTTATTTACCTAAATGAATTGAAAAGTTATGTTTAAACAAAAACCTGTGCATGGATGTTTATAGCAGCTTTTTCATAACTATTAAAACTTGAAAACAACCAATATGTCCTTCAATAGATGAATGGATACATAACCAGTGGTACATCTAGAAAAGGGAATATTTTTCATTGCTAAAAAGAGATGAGCTATCAGGCCATGAAAATACATAGAGGAAACTTAAATGCGTATTACTAAGTTAAAGAAGCCAATTTGAAAAGGTTACATACTGTATAATTACAATGATACAATATTCTGGAAAAGGCAAAACTATGGAGAGTATAACAGTATCAATGGTTTCCAGGGGTTATTGAGAGAGGAAGAGATCAATAGGCAGAACATAGAGGATTTTTAGGGCCTCGTGTCTATTTTATACATTTCAAAATGGTGGATATATGACCTTCTACATTTGTCAAAACTCATGGAATGAATAACACCAAGAGTGAACCCTAATGCAGACTATGGACTCTGGGTGATGATGTGGAGTCAATGTAGGTTCATCATTGTAACACATGTGGTAGTCTGATGGGAGGTATCGATAGTGGGGGAGGTTGTGTGTAACTGGGGGTTAGGGAGTGAGTGGGAACTCTGTAAGTTCCACTCAGTTTTGCTGTGAAGCTAACACTGCTCTTTAAAAACAATTTATTAAGCTTAAAAAAGATTTTAAAAACAGCAGAAAGTAAAAATTTTAAAAATGATTCCATTTTACTTGTTTGCTTAAATCTTTCTTGTATGTTTCTTTTACAGTTATGAGCTCAAAATTTGCTTAAACATAAATCAGAAACCATTTTCACTTACACACAGACTTTATTAATAATAATCATAGACTCCAGAGATAAATTACAAAAGCCTATTCGACTCATCCCATGTTTGAACTAATATATATTTTCAGTGAAAAGTAATGTTGTAACATTACTAGTTAAAAAAACACTTATATTTAAAAAATTTGTCAGGAATGCTAGTGCTTGAGGGAATGCAGGTGCTGAGGCAGGGGTGGGGGAAGGGAGCAAGAAGAGTTTTATAGTTAAGCACTCAAAGACTGAAGTATGGTTTGGTTACATGGAATTTTTCACTTCAAATAACTTTTTACTTTATTAAAAAAAAAAATCCACACTAGTTCCACTCAGATGAGGAGATTTAATGGGATGACGATAGATTTGGGGAAGAAAGAGGAAAGAAGAGATCTTTTCTAGAAGGTGGAAAAATGAAATAGAAAAGACACAAGAAAGTAACTTTTTAATAAATTGGAGATGTGTAACTGACTAGACTAATTGCTGAGCATTAAAATAAAGGAGAAACGCAGTGTTATGGTCAGTAGATGATTCCACTGATACTGAAGAGGAAGCAGATGATAAAGAGACACTGCTGTATTTTTCAATGATGGTACCAAGTATCGTTGGTTCAGAGTAGCTTATTTTAAACCACTAGGTGTCCCATCCAAGTACTAACCAGGCCCGACCCTGCTTAGCTTCTGAGAGCAGATGAGATTGGGCGCGTTCAGGGTGGTATGGCTGTAAATCAAAACCTCAATGAGATACCACCTCACACCAGTCAGAATGGCTAACATCAACCAGTCAGGGAACAACAGGTGTTGACGAGGATGCAGGGAAAGGGGAGCCCTCCTACACTGTTGGTGGGAATGCAAGCTGGTGCAGCCACTCTGGAAAACAGTATGAAGTTTCCTCAAAAAGTTGAAAGTAGAGCCACCCTATGACCCAGCAATTGCACTACTGGTATTTACCCCAAAAATACAAATGTAATGATCCAAAGGGGCATGTGCACCCGAATGTTTATAGCAGCAATGTCCACAATAGCCAAACTGTGGAAAGAGCCCAGATGGCCATCAACAGATGAATGGATAAAGAAGATGTGGTATATATATTCAATGGAATACTATGCAGCCATCAAAAATGAAATCTTGCCATTAGCAACAATGTGGATGGAATAAAGGGTATTGTGCTAAGCAAAATAAGTCAATCAGAGAAAGATAATTATCATATGATTTCATAGATCATATGAGGAATCTGAGAAACAAGGCAAAGGATCATAGGGGAAGGGAGGGAAAAATAAGACAAAACCAGAGAGGGAGACAAACTATAAAAGGCTCTTAATCTCAGGAAACAAACTGAGGGTTGCTGGAATGGAGGGCTGGGGTGGCTGGGTGATGGACCCTGGGGAGGGTATGTGCTATGGTGAGTGTTGTGAATTGTGTAAGACTGATGAATCACCAACCTGTACCCCTGAAACAAATAATACATTATATGTTAATATAAATAAATAAATAAATAAATAATAAACCACTAGGTGGCAGGGTAGAGAGAGGAGGCAGGTTGAGGTGGATGGTTCCTGGGGATACATTGAACAATTAGTTACCTATTAGACTTGTGTCATAGTTCAGAGGTATATATATATTTATGTATTAATGTTTCATATGTGTGATATTTTATATGTTAAAGCAATAACATTTTGCTACTAAAATAATATAAAATTTTTGAACAGCATAAACAAAGTATTGATTAAAAATTGAGTTGGGGGGCGCCTGGGTGGCTCAGTTGGTTGGACGACTGCCTTCGGCTCGGGTCATGATCCTGGGGTCCCGGGATCGAGTCCCACATCGGGCTTCCAGCTCCATGGGGAGTCTGTTTCTCCCTCTGACCTTCTCCTCGCTCATGCTCTCTCTCTCACTGTCTCTCTCTCAAATAAATAAATAAAATCTTTAAAAAAAAAATTGAGTTGGTATGTTAGTCAGTGTGACCCAAATTTATTATATCTGCTGGGTATTTACTTAATTTTTCAAAAATATTTTAAGGTTACAGTTGCTATTTATTATTTTTCCATATTTTAATCAGATATAAATTAACAGTGAAAAATTGATAATTGTAAGATATAACTTTGTGGTATAAGTGAAGATTGTCTCTCTCTTTTTTTTTTTAAGATTTTATTTGACAGGGAGAAAGAGATCACAAGTAGGCAGAGAGGCCAGCAGAGAGAGAGGGGGAAGCAGGCTCCCTGCTGATCAGAGAGCCCGATGCGGGGCTCGATCCCAGGACTCTGAGATCATGACCTGAGCCGAAGGTAGAAGCTTAACCTGCTGAGCCACTCAGGCACCCCAAGATTGTCTCATGTTAAGAGTCCTCATTTTTAGACCAATATTTTGACCGTATTAGAAAAGATATCATATAATGGTCTAGATTCTGCCTTGAAAAAGCTTTTTTGGGTCAATTAATGTATTCTTGAATGCCATTCTTGAAGTAACTACATAGGGTAATATTCAGAATAGGTTTTTTGTTTTTGCTTTTGCCTTGGTGTTTCCACTATATCTGGGTTTTCAATAGGATCATAGACTTATAAACATCCTCCCTCTTGGCTTCCTATTCTCCAGCATCCTAGAAGAACTGAGTTTATACATAGAGTCACAGAAACCCTGGAGCTGAGAGGAGTGGTGGGGAAAACCTCTTTCAGAGGGTTCTTTTAGATGGAAGGAACAGAGACACGAGGTTAGATTCCTGACGCCAGCTCATGCTCGAGGCCGGCGTGGAGCTGGGCCTCCATCCCTGCTTGCTGAGTCCCAGCTGGACTGATGCTGCCTGTTTACTCCTCCGTCCTCTGCTGGCCACATCAACATCTTGTAACCAGTAGTTACTATCTTCCTTCTGTCCCATCTTCACAATGAACAATATTGTTGACGCGGCTTGTCTACCTACCCTGTGTACCGCAAATACTTTGTGCAAAGACACTGAGTCACTATAAACACAGTGATGTTCCCTGGCAGAGGCCACAGTCCTCCCAATATTGTTTTACCCTTGAATTTGCTGCTTTGAATGAATTGCCAGTATTTAAAAATTGGTAGCTTTTATGCAGAACTCTGGATGCTTCCATTTCCCTGGAAGTTTCATAAATCTGGCAACAGGGGAGGGCCTTCTCCAGTGGCACTGGAGCCCTTTATGTAGAATCTGCCCCTTCTGTTTCACCATGGTCCCCATCGCTCCTCTAGGATCCCCAGTCCTTGGCCCTGTGTTCTTTGTCATTGATCATTTTCTAATCTCTTGCTTTTCAAATTTGAATTACATGCCTTGATGTCTCTAAACATTTGGGGATTTCAGCTCTCGTTCTCTGAAAGTATACCCTGAGATCAATAGTCCTAGTAGAAATTTTTTTTTCAGAGCATAAAGATAAGGATTGATAAAGATAGCTATAAAATAATTAAGTTTTTTGAATAATGAAAATGACTGATATTTCTCCAAATTTGGTTTTCAAGGCAAACATGTCCCAGGTCAGGCAGGTGGGACTGCTGGCTGCGGGATGTCAGCCGTGGAACAAGGACGTGTGTGCTGCCAGTGGAGACAGGTTTGCGTACTGTGCCACTCTGGCCATCTATATTTACCAGGTAAAATACTTTGGTTGCTTTTCTCATTTTATTAGGTAAAATTAACATTTAATACATATTTTAAAATTCCTGTTACATAAAAGTTTTAAAAGTACTGTAATGTAATTGATATTTATATTTTGCTGCTGTTTATACTATATTGGCTTTATAATTCAAGCTTTTAGAAAATGCTTTTATCATAGTTTTAAGTTACTAGAAAAATCTTAATTGATTTCATCAACCTTTATGTGCTGTTCATCAGAAGGAATTTCTTCAAGAATTAAAAGCTTCCAGTTTATGAGTGATGAGCAATTAGAACTTAATGCTTTTAAAATGTATCTCCATATAAATAATTGGAATTCATTTATTCATTTGTTTCAGACTTTGCTTAGTAGCATTTCATATGAGAAAAATCAGAGAATATGGGTTATCCATTAGAGATCATTATATTAAAAACTGTGCAGATATAAAATATTTTGAGATATTCTTGAGATACAAACCTTTATAACTCCTTTTCTTCATGTCTGAACTCTATCCAAACATCGCTCTTCAGTTTCCAGGCTGAAGAGCCAATGGCCTTCTGAATTGCCCCAGATCGAGGTGCTATAAACATCTTAAATCCAGGTCAAACTTTCTTAAACCTGGAGTCAGCATTTATGTGTGAGCAGCCAACCACTCGTCTGAACCACGGACGTGAGGGTTAGCTCTCTTTGGCTCCTGCTTCTCACTCCTGTATTTTAGGTTAACCAGGAGCAATCTAGGGTTTGTAGCCTTCTCACCCAACTATTACAATAGTCTCTTACTATCCTCTGCCTCTACTTTGACTCCCTCTAATGTACACTTCAGTGTAGTCGATCGTCTGTCATGCAGATCCGAAGTTTTCAGTCTTCAGCGGCTCCTCATTCCTTCTATTCACATCCAGATTTCATGGTGTGACGCTGTTTTGCACTGTTTCCTCCTCTCACCTTGTGCCCCGAGGCAGACCATGCTAATTGTATTTTCTAAGGCATCTCAGACTCTTTTGTATCTTGCCTTTGCTTACACTGATTTTTCCATTTGCCTCTGTTGCCTGTTTGGAGAATGTTTTCTCATCTTTCAAATTTCAGCTCAAGTGTATAAACTCTTTTCCATATTCTGCCTTTTCCGCTTTTGTGATAGCAAAGGACCTTATAAAACGGACTGCCTCTCTGCCTGCTTCCCTTTACCAGAATCAGTCTTCCTCACCTTTGAATTTCTCAAGTTACTCTGTGCTCTCTGGAATTTAAGATACTCATTAAATATTTTTTGAATGATACATTTTTGTTGTTGTTGTTTTGAAACAACAGTGCATTTCAGTGAAGAGTGAAAAAAATTATTGCATTATTCTGGAATAAAAATCTTTTCAATTAGCAATAGTGTAGTTTATTGAAAATTGAAGAAAAAAATAGCATCACTCTATAAACTAGTTAATTTCCCACAATACTGAGATTTTATGTAGTCCATTATTCAAGATTATAGAAACACCCAGTAATCAACCTGAGTTTCAGTATAACATATCAGTCTAGGTAAACTGTTCCTCCAGTGAGTAAGGACAGTCAGAGAATGGATGAAGGCAGAACTTATTTTTTTTCATGTTCACCTTTGTCCAGTTTTATGATGACATTTTATGACTTGAATATTTAGGAAGATTGAACTAAAATTATTAATATAAAAAACCTATGAAGAAAATTTATGTGTTATTAAAGACTGAAACAAACTAAGAATCATCCTGATTTAGATATTAAAACAAACTCAGGTGACAGTTCATTACAGAGTTCCTGTAAAAACTTGTTTCAAAGTATGTAAATAGACAATTACATTTATATTAAATGGTGACATTAACATTCAACTTATGTTAATCAGTATTGTTTTAAATGTCATTATCTAAATTGAAGTGCTTTGAAAATTATGCTACATAAATATAAAATATTAAGGTTATTTTCAAAGGGAATATTTATTAAATCATACCTAGGGTCAATGTACAGTCAGAGCCTGATAGTCTGTCACACTCTGTATAACAATACTGATGTTTTATCACATCTGTCTGAACTATTAAATGATACTTGTAAATGCCATAAGAATTTTCCCTTTGACCATTGAATTGTGATGCGATAATGTATTAACTACTCTAAAAATAATTTATGGTGCAGCTGAATGTAATGGAATAGACTCATAATACTGAACTGTAAATATAATAGGAATGTATTAATAAATTAATCCCCATATGTATTTATATTGTGCTTAAGATACTACTTGGGTAATTTGAATAGTAAAGCCAGTGAAGATCATTGATAGCTTCTTCATGTACTTACTGTATTTATAGACTCTTCCACTGAATTTCTAACTTATATAGCAGTTTTTCTATTAGATACATTAGACACATTCATAGTATTTACCACAGATAAATCACTGAATGACTTAAAACTTACACAGCTATTCCTTACAAACCTATTCCTAAATATACAGAAAATGTACTTAAATATATTTAAACAGGCCAACTTAAGATGATTATAACTGCAAAACTCCACTTGTACTTGGTTCTTTTTAACAGTATTTCATCTGACATTGTTCAGGAATAGTTGAAGTTCAAGTAGTGAGAAATATAGAAATTATAGAAGGGAAACCTTAGGAAATAATTAGGTTGTTAGTCAAAATTTTATATGCATTGATGTTCGCTACAGCATTATTTGTTATAGCAAAATTTCAAAGCGGCTTAAGTGGTAAACAATAGCATAGTGGCTCATTTCTTCAATAATAACTGAATCTCTTCCATTGGCCAAGTATCACTAGGCACTAAGAATGAAACTATGAACAAATCAGGTAGATTCTTCTCATTGGATTCATATTCCTAGTAAGGATGGGGGCAGGGAGAGGTCAATAAATAAATAAATAAATAATAAACGTTTCGGGAAGAAATGTGTTCTACAAAGGCTATTAAAAACAGGTCATATGTTAGAGTCATTGACACCAAAATCAAAAGCAACAAAAGCAAAAACAAGTGGGACTATATCAAACTAAAAACCTTCTGCACAGCAAAGGAAACCATCAACAGAATGCAAAGGCAGCCCACTGAATGGGAGAAAATATTTGCATATCATAATCTGATAAGGGGCTAATATCGAAAACATATAAAGAACTCATATGACACAATAGCAAATTAGACAAATGATGTGATTGAAAAATAGGTAGAGGATCTGAATAGGTGTTTTTCCAAAGAAGACATGCAGATGGCCAACAGACACATCAAAAGAAATCTCAACATCACTTATCACCAGGGAAATGCTAATCAAAACCACGTTGAGCTATCACCTCACACCTGTTAGGATCTCTATTTTCAAAAAGACAAGGAATAACAAATATTGGGAGGATGTGGAGAGAAGGGAACCCTGTGCACTGTTGATGGGAATGTAAATTGGTGCAACCACTATAGAAAACTCAGTAGAGTTTTTCTCAGAAAATTAAAAACAGAACTACCGTAGGATCTTACAGTTCTACTTCTGAGGGTTTATGTGAAGGAAATGAAAACACTAATTGAAAAGATACATGCAGTCCCATGTTCACTGCAGCATAGCCGAGACACAGAAGCAACCCCAGTGTCCATGATGGATGAACAGATAAAGAAAATGTGGTCTTGGGCGCCTGGGTGGCTCAGTGGGTTAAGCCGCTGCCTTCGGCTCAGGTCATGATCCCAGGTCCTGGGTTCAAGCCCCACATCGGGCTTTCTGCTCAGCAGGGAGCCTGCTATCTCCTTTCTCTCTGCCTGCCTCTCTGCCTACTTGTGATTTCTCTCTGTCAAATAAATAAATAAAATCTTAAAAAAAAAAAAATGGTCTAGGTATGCATACAGTGGAATACTATTTAGCCATTAAAGAAGGAAACTTTGCCACTTCCTACAACATGGATGGGCCTCAAGGGCATTATGCTAAGTGAAATGTGTCAGAGAAAGACAAATACTATATGCTCTCACTTATATGTGGAACCTAAAACAAAAACAAAACAAAATAAAACTGAACTCATAGACACAGAGAATAAATTGGTGGTTGCCAGAGGCGGGGTAGGGTAGGGTGAAATGGGTGAAGGGAGTCAAAAGGTACAAACTTCCAGTTATAAACTAAATAAGTCACAAGGATGCAATGTACAGCATGTTGAATGTGGTTAATGACACTCTATTGTACATTGGGAAGTTGCTCAGACTAGATCTTAAAATTTACCACAAGAAAAAAAGCTGTAACTGTGTGTGGTGATTCTTAAGTAGGTTTATGTGATCATTTAGCAATATATGCAAATATCAAGTCATTATGTTGTCTACCTGAAACCAATATTATATATCAATCATATCTTAATTAAAAAAAAAATGATAGGGGCGCCTAGCTGGTTCAGTTGGTTAAGCAACTGCCTTTGGCTCAGGTTATGGTTCTGGAGTCCCAGGATCGGGCTCCCAGCTCCATGGGGAGTCTGCTTCTACCTCTGTCCTTTTCCCCTCTCATGCTCTCTCTCACTGTCTCTCTCTCAAATAAATAAATAAAAATCTTTTAAAAAAATAAAAGATAAATAAAAATTTAAAAAAAATTTTAAAAGGATAAAGGATAGAGTCACGGGACAGGTTTTGGGGTGGGTGTATAAATTTATTTAGTTGTGGTCAGAAAATACCTTTGTAAAAAGAGGCATTTTTGGACTGAGAGCTGAACAGGAAGGAATGAATAACCATGAACAAATAGATGGGGAGAGCATTCAACGCCAAAAGAACAGCAAACATAGGCTTTAAAGCAGAAATAATTTTGCCGTAATAGAGCAGCAAGAAAGCCAGAGTGGACAAGCAGGAACCCGATGCCGAGTGAGCCTTGCGGATAGCAGAGGTAAGAAATGTGGGACATCGGAGGCCATGCTGCAGTTCGGATTTTACTGCAAGTATATGGTTGAAGAAAGAATGGTGTAAAAAATAGTTAATGTTATGTTGATTGGAAACCCTCTTCAATAATACTCTGAAAGGTTCATAATTTGTTAAGAGGAAAAGCCAGGTACAACAAAATGGCATACACTGTATAATCCCAAATGTTGAAAATGCGAAAAAGAAAAATTCACTGATTAATGGCACATTTACAAAGGAGATCGGAAAATTAGGCTATTTCTTTTTTCCACTTACATGCAAGAGCACGACATAAGCCCCATCCAAAAAGCAGTAATAGAAAATGGGTCCAGTGATACCATTGCTCTGCAGACTTTAGACATCTTAATAAGGTAATAATGAGCAATTAGTTTATTTAACCCAATTTTTTATTGAAATACACTTAGCATTCCAAGTCCTATTAGTTTCAGCTGTACAACATACTGATTTAGCCATTGTATACACTGCTCATGGTCATGACGCTAAGTGCCATCAACATCTGTTACCATGCGATGTTTTTACAGTATTACTGTCTGTATTCCCTGTGATGCACTTTTCATCTCCATGATTATTTTTGTAACTGGAAGTGTGTACCTCTCAATCCCCTTTATCTATTTCACCCATCCCTCCACCCACCTCCTCTCTGGCAACCACCAGTTTGTTCTCTGATGTTAAGAGTCTGGTTTTCTGTTTGTTTGGATTTTTAGATTCCACGTGTAAGTGAAATGATACGGTGTTTTTCTTTCTCTGACTTATTTCACTTATCATGATACCTTCTACCTCCAACAGTGTTGTCACAAATGGCAAGATTTCATTCTTTTTTTATGACTGGGTAATATTCCAACACACACACACACACACACACACACACCATCTTCTTTATGCATTTATTGATGTGTACTTGAGTTGTTTATGTATCTTGGCTATTGTAAATAATGCTACAATAAAAAATAGGGGTGCACATATCTTTTCAAATTAGTATTTTCATTTCTTTGGGTAAATAGCCAATAGTGGAATTGCTAGATTATGTGTAATTTCTGTTTTTAATTTTTGAGGTACTTCCATACTGTTCCCGTGGTGGATATCCCAGGTTACAGTCCCCTCAAGAGTCCTTTTTCTCCACATTCTCACCAACACTTGTTACTTCTTATGTTTTTGATTTTAGCCATTCTAACAGGTATAAGGTGATATCTCATTGTGGTTTCGATTTGCATTTCCTTGCTGATGAGTGATGTTGGCCATGTGTATATTTTCTTTGGAAAATGTCTATTTAGGTCCTCTGTCCATTTTTAATCAGATTATTTTTTTTTGGGGGGGGTGGTGTTCAGTTTTATAATGTTCATATGTTTTAGATGTTTCTTTATATGTTTTAGATGTTAGCTCCTTATTGGAAATGTCATTTGCAAATATCTTCTCTTTGTGATGGTTTCTTTCACAGTGTAAAAGCTTTTTAATTTGGTATAGTCCCAGTAGTTTATTCTCTTAGCCTAAATTTTTTCATTTAAACCTAATTGAAAAATTACAGAAAAAATATTCCAAAACCAAGAGTTTTTTCCCCATAAGTAGATATGGATATGGAAAATATAATAAGGCTCTGAATTATTATGTATATTTAAATGTTTTTTATTTACATTTATTTTTATTTGTTTTAAATTTATTTTTATTTATTTATTTATTAAAATTTATTTAAATAAATTTTATTACATTTATTTTTATTTGTTTTAAAATTATTATTTAATTTTAATTCTCTTATTTTTTTAAAAAATGGATTTTTTTCTGCTCATCATCACTTATTAGGGAAATGCAAATCAAAACTACAATGACATCTCACCTCACACCTGCCAGAATGGCTAAGCACCAGAAAAAAAAATACAAACACAAAAATAAAAGCACAAGAAACAAAAGATGTTGGCAAGAATGTGGAGGGAAAGGAGCCCTCATGCACAGTTGGTGGGAATGCAAACTGGTTTAGCCACTGTGGAAAACAGTATGGGGGTTCCTTAAAAAGTTAAAGATAGAACTACCCTATAATCCAGAAATCATGCCAGTAGGTATTTACCTAAAGAATACAAGCACACTAATTCAAAGGGCCGCACGCACCCCCATGATTATAGCAGCATTATTTATAACACCCAAACTGTGGAAGCAGCCCAAGTGTCCACTGACTGACGAATGGACAAAGAAGTGGACGGCATGTAAATGGAATATTGCTCAGCCGTAAGAAAGAATGACATCTTGCCATTTGCAACAACACGGATGAGCTACAGAGTATGACGCTAAGTATAATAAGTCAGTCAGAGAAAGACAAGCACCATAATGATCTCACTCATATGTGAAAGTTAGGAAACAAAACAAGCAAAGGGAAAAAATAAGAGAGGGAGAGACAAATCAAGAAATAGACTTTTAATTATAGAGAATAAACTGATGGGGAAGGGGGGAGGGAAGGGGGAAATAGGTGCTGGGGGTTACAGAGGACGCTTGTGATGAGCCCTGCTGATGTGTGGAAGTGTCGAGTCACTCTGTTGTACACTGTATCAGCTAACTGGAATTAAAATAAAATTTTTAAAAAATGATTTCTTTCTTTTGATTGAATACACTTAACACTTGAAAGCAAACCAAGGCTTGAAATGTGTTCATACCATATTATTAGGTATACTAATTTTCATGTATGTAGCTTTTTAAAATTAATGTGATTATTGAGAAGTGTGTTATCTAAAAAGAAGCACTGAAATGTCTTATTTATATATTTTTTTTAGTTGGATCACCGTTATAATGAATTCAAACTTCACGCAATTATGTCTGAACATAAAAAAACAATCACAGCTATCTCTTGGTGTCCACATAACCCTGATGTGTTTGCAAGCGGCGGTACCGATAATTTAGTCATCATTTGGAATGTTGCAGAACAAAAAGTCATTGCTAAGCTCGACAATACAAAAGGTATATTTATAACTGGGTTTTATTTTACTAAATGAAATATTTTTATTTTAATAAGCAAAATATTTTATTTAAATTAGCTCAGGTTTTAAACTGAGCTTTTCCAACTTTCTAGTTTAAACTGCTTTTCAAACTTACTAGTGCTAATCTATGTAGGAAATCTATGGAAGAAATTTCATATCATGACTCATTGTACATATGTATAAAAACTGAAACAAAATTTCATGAAATATTTTATACTTAGCATAATGATCTATGAAAAATGATCAATACCAAATGATTTCATTAATATGTAAATATAACAAAAATTCCCAAAATAAATATAAAAATAATAACTGGTGAGATCTTCTTAATGAGACAATTGGTCTAGCCTGTTCATTACTATGTTCCAATCTGAAACATACAAGGACAGTGTTACATATGTAATCAGTGCCCTGAGCTGGTTTCTTTCCTTTATTTTTAATTGGGTCAAGACAGAAAGTCCTAGTTCACACAAGTAGGTCTTAGTGAATTGAATATTATGACATTCTTCCTAGCTAGCATCTTACCCCATGATAATGATGAAGTTATCATTTTTCTCTGTTAGATGTCATAATAATTCAATCACTTTTTAAACACCAAGGGTGTCTCAGTTATTAATTATGGTTTTGAGAGCTACTGCTGGACGTGTTTTCCATGTCCAGTTGTTTCTCTAACAATTACTGGTTATAGCTTTGAGACAGAAAACTGAGATTTGACCGTCTCACTAATTTTATTTTGTTCAGTTTCTTTATAATCTTCTTTTCAGTGTGTAGCAACAATATTGAGAGTTCATAGGCAATTGTATGGAACTCTTGCTTCCAAGATAATAATAATAATGCCTTTTGGAACCTTTGGATATGTTCAGCATACTTAGTATATTTCTTTTTCCTTGTCTTTTCAAATTTAGGTCATTAGGAATGTTGAAAATACCAGTAAAATAAACCAATTTTGTTATATTACTTCCATTTAAAAAAAAATATTTGTCAAACAAGGTTAATTTTTCAGCTAGAAAAATGTGACTCTCATTCCCAAGCTCATATAACCTGCTGCTTATTTTCATTTGCAACAACCCCTAAGCTTCAGTATTAGATAGTGTGCAGTTTGCTCCAATCTCAGAGCAAAATTTTTTTAAAGTCAACTCTATTCAGTGAGCTTCCATTAAAGTAAATAACAGTTTTCCTTAAGGTTTTCAATACATCAATGAGAAAAATCCAAAATACTTTTAGTACAAGGCTTTGTGATATATAAAAACAGCAATTAATAGCCTCAGTCAAGATTTTTCATGTTTGTTTGGTCAGTCCTGTTTCTCAATCCTACAGGTTTTTCCAGTATTGTTTTTATTGGGCAAGAGTGCATTTTCTCAATACTTTATATTCAACTTTATGTGAAAATAATTTTAATCTTTATGTGAAAAATACTCCTTGAATGCTACATGATGTCATCGATCTTACAAGGTTGTCACACAAAATCTATACTTGATTATAACTGTAGAATAACATTTTCTAAATGTTATGCATAGGTACAGCTTAGACAGTATACTATTGTATTATCACCTTGTGTACCCACTGATTTGTCATAAAACGCTATGTGCATCACCTCTTTTCATGATGGAAGAGTTTTTTTATTCATTAGCTTTGTGCACCATAGCTTTTTTGCCAGTGAGTATACAATTAAATAAGTCTTTTCATTAGCTGAATCATTGAACATTATATAAAAAACTAATGATGTGCTATACCTTGGCTAATTGAATTTATATTTAAAAAGATAGCTAAATCCTAAAATAAAAAGCTTTTCATTTGCATTTGTAGAATTATTAATCATTGTGGTAATAGTTTTGATCACTTTTACGTATTTTTCCTTTCCTTATGTATTTTCTTTTGTTTTGAAATTTTCTTCACAATAAGTTCCTCATGCTATTTCTAAATATCTTAATTTAAAAATTGAAAGCTTTATTTGCAAAAAATTTATGAATATTTGGGTTATTTTCATTGTAAGTAATTCCCTTTGAAATGTCTTAGACTCTATCTTTTTTTCAGAATCTGGCTTAAGCAAAGTAGAAATTTGCATTTAGTCAAACTTTTTAAAAAATCAATATTAGAATTTGAAACTGCCTCTGTATTTTTTATTTCATCATTCTGTTTTCCACAGTAATAAAAATTTTACTTAAAATGTATTAGTTTGTTTAAATGTAAAATGTTAAAATTATCATGAGGTTGAAAAATATCACACTTGATAATATCCTTTCAATTAAAAAAAAACAAAAACAAAACACTGTTACCGATGGATAATAGTACTACCTAACTGTCTTAGAATATTTTGGGAAGAATTAAATGAGTTAATGTTTTACAGAGTTCTTAGAAGTACTTACAAATAATGAGCCATTATAGAAGTCTTTTCTGTTTTACCTATATGACATTGTTTCTAGTTCCTTCTCTTCCTTGCTGTCTCTCTGGAATCACGCATTCAGAGAGCCCACGTTCCAGAGGCTTTCTTCAAGTGTTCGATGGTGGTTTGACCCATTCAGAGTGTCTCATCCCTTATTGGGAAATTCGACTTAATGTAGTCTAAAACCACATCAGCTTTTTATTGGCCTTATTCATGGACTTATCCATTCCTTCTATAAATATTTATGGAGTTACCATTTTATGTCAGACCCTGAACTAGGGGTTAGGCTTCTGGTTTCTGCCTCTTGGAACATTAAGGACACAAATTGAATTTACTGTCAATGAACAAATTAAAACTGTGCCTTTTTTTATATCATTTCCTCTTCCTGGGAAATACTACTTATCCCATACATTAAACTCTACTGCTTCCTCAAAGTATAATCCAAATCCAACTTCTTTCCAGGACAGTTGCCCAACAGTTCAGACTTTTCTATATGTCACAATCATTTGGAAAACCTTGTTGTTGTTTTTTAAAATATTTTATTTATTTATTTGTCAGAGAGCATGCGCACAAGCAGAGGGAGCAGAAGAGGGAGAAGCAGGCTCCCCGCTGAGTAGGGAGCCCGATGTAGGACTCGATCCCAAGACCCCGGGATCATTACCTGAGCCAAAGGCAGAGGCTTAACCGACTGAGCCACCCAGGTGCCCCTGGAAAACCTTGTTACAAATAGATTCCTGGGCCCTAATTCCATATGATCTGATGTGCTTATTCAGTTTGCTGATTCTGATGCATTTATAAAGTATCTGTGTTGGGAGGTTCATAATCTCTGTCTTGAGTTAGAAATTTACCATAATACTTATTTTATATATGATTTATAGAAAGGGGAATATAATTAACTTTTGTATTTCTTTTATAGTTTAAAAGGGTCTTTTATATGCATTATTATATTTCTCGTCTTAATATTCATGTGGAATAGGTGTACAGCTATTTTTAGTTATCTGCATTTTATAGATGAGAAGACAGATTTAAGAGGTAAAGTTACTTGTTGAGTTCATCTAAGCAGTACTAAGATTTGAATCTAAACCCTGATAAGACATAGATTGTAGCATTAATTTTATTACTAAATCCCTATAGTTGCATATAACTTTTCATTTATGTAATCCTTATCTTCCCAAGATATTATATTTGTATCTTATATTTAAGATCCTTTAAAATAGGAATTTTATCCTGTATTAACTTGTATACCTAGAATGACTACAGCAAGTCTACACAAAAACTCAGTAAGAATTCATTGCTTTAATATGTAGTTTCTGAAAGAAAAAACTCCATAAATGTCTATATATATGAAGCATGTTATGATATGAATAGTTTCAAACCCAACGGGGTACTTTTCCTTTCATTATGGAATTATGGAAACACCCTGCCTATGTTGCCTGTAGTTGTTAGGATCACTTTATAAGTCTGACTCCCAACTAAGAAGGTGGTAATATATTTTTTTTAATAACAAGCCTAGTCTTGTATTTTAAGTTGTTCTAGAAGTATACAGTAGGAATACTATTTAATGGTACACTCTTCTTCCTCATGTCTCTATGACATGTCTGTATTTCATTTCTCCTAGGGACGCCTGCCTCTCTCAGCTGGTGCTGGAATGCAGGTGATGCCGTGGCCTTTGTTTCCCACAGAGGCCCACTGTTCATCTGGACCATCTCAGGCCCAGAGAGTGGAGTGACTGTACACAAGGAAGCTCACAGCTTCTTGTCTGATGTCTGTGTATTCAGATGGCATACCCAGAAAAAGGGAAAGATTGTATTTGGTCATATTGATGGAAGCCTATCAATTTTTCAACCAGGTAAGAATTTAATTTAGTCAAGTTTCTTTTTCTTACCTTATGTAATTTCTTGTTTACGTAGCATACAGCCAAGGTTCAGAGTATTTTATTTTATTTTATTTTTTTAAGGTTCACAGTATTTTAATTTTAAAATAATAGTTCTACAAATAATATCCAGCACTAAGAATTCACTTTTTTTTTTTTTAAGATTTTTTTATTTATTTAACAGACAGAGATCACAAGTAGGCAGAGAGGCAGGCAGAGAGCCTGATGCAGGGCTCTATCCCAGGATCCCGGGGTCATGACCTGAGCCGAAGGCAGAGGCTTTAACCCACTGAGCCACCCAGGTGCCCCCCAAGAAGTCACTTTTATTGTAATATATTTAACTCAACTGTGTAGATTGTACTTCGAGTTAACCCAAATACAGTCATTTGCCGCGTTATTTTACTTTTTTAAGTTAGTTGTTTATTTCTATACCTTTACTAAGAAAATGGCCTGAATGAGTAAGGACATTCAACAGAATATGATGACTTACTAATACAACTCAAAAATATTTTCCCACCTGCTTCTAAAATACCAATGTGATGCCTGTAGGTCCTTAGCAAAGACTTTGAACTTGAGGTGGAAAGGAACAATAAATCTTTCGATCCCCCCATCAGCTAATTAATTAATCTAGCTGAATGAAGGGGTCTGAGAAGCTAATTTATGTTTATTTTTTCCATTTTAAACAATGATAAAGTGTGTAATGGGAAAATCTGAAAATTATCTGGATAGCTCTCCACTCAAAAGTAGTGTGGTTACCCTCTGAGAAACATGTTTTTGCCATCTGGCATCGCTGTTGATGTAGGAGACTCCTGACTCTCCAGATAGACGGATAAAAGTGCTTTTTAGGATTAAGATCGCTACTTTTAAAAAATGTGTTACATCTAATTTATCTGAAACTAAGAGAAGAAAAAAGAAGTTGAAGTTGAAAAGAAGAAATCCTGAAAATTTGAATAAATATTTCCTAAAGAAATCTTCCTACTGTTAAAAAATGATATATAAAACACTGCTATTTTGGGGCCATTTTATCTCAAACACATTTCAAACGGGATCTGCTGTTTTACCTCTTAAAGCAAGATGACAATAAATGTGCATGTCTGTCTTCACCACCTCCCTCTGCTCTTTGCGCCTATCCTCCTGTTCCTTCTGGGCATACTAATGTAACTTGGGGAGGCTTTTATCTGTTTTCAGTTGGAGGGGGGACAGGTCTGTGCTTGTTTTTTGCTACATTTGGATTTGTTGTCTCAGACACCTCCACCCTATCTGTTCTGTCCTCTGCGTTGGGAGAAAATTCTGTTTGAGAGTTGGTCATTGGGCTCAGGGTTCAGTGACCTCATTCACAGACTTTCTCCGTTTGGATCTGGTGCACACCACTTCTTTTCCCTCCTGGACTCTTGATATCCCGCAGTCTTCTTCAGTCCCAGGGAGGTAATTTAGGGACAGTCAGGATGGCCGTGTGCTGTGTGGTTCTTCCTCGTGATTGCGTTCTGGGGGTGTAACCAGATCTCAGTAGGAACTCCCCACCACTCCCCCAGCGAGCCCGCACCCAGAGACTTCGTGAGGATGGCAGTACTTTGTTTTTGAGGAACCTGGTGCTGTTGAGCTCTAGAGAGGATAATGAGGAGTGTGCACGCACTTTGGCCCAAATTTCATTCTAGGTATTATTCACATTTTATAACTTGTCATTTTGACCATCTCTTTTTCACTGACTTAAGGCTTTCTTTTCTTGCTTTATTATTATTAATATATCATTATTAGGTACTTTTCTTAATTAGGTATTTTTGAAGGTGTTAAGTCCTAAGACATTGAGACATTGTATTATATCTCTAAGATATAAAACATTGAGACACTGTATGCTTATTCTGGCATTGAAAGGATAGGGAGGCATAAAGACCTCCTTTGCACTTTGCGTCTCCCTTTTGTGGGTTTAAGTCAGGGTGGAATGTATAATATTTCAACATCTGACCTGTGACTTCCAGAAGAGGCCATCATTTTGCCATAACTCATCTTCCAGTTATTAAACGAAGTAATTTGTGCATCTGTACCCATATCTCCCATATCATCAAGTGTTATTTTTCTGGATCCACCCATGGATTCATTTGCTAAGGCTTACCCTAACAGAGTCCCACACTCTGGGTGGCTTAGATCAACAAATGCATTGTCTTGCAGTTGTAGAGCCCGGAGATAGGAGGTCAAGGTGTCAGCAAGGCAAGGCCCTGTAGAGACACCAGGGAAGGCTTCATTCCAGGGCTCTGTCTTAGCTTCTGGTCGTTCCTTAGCTCGTAGCAGCCCAGCATCAGGCTTCACATGGTGTTCTCCCTGTGTGCATGCAGTGCTCTGTCCAAATTTCTCCTCTTTATAAGGACACAGTCATGTTGGATAATGGTTCACCCCAGTGACTCATCTCAATTTATCATCTGCAAATACCCTGTTTCCAAATAAAGTCACATTCACAGATCCTTGGAGGTTGGGACCTCAACATCTTTTGGAGGGACGCAAATTCAACCCATAACAACCCCATACAGAGTTGTTGACCTCATTTATTCCATAGGATGTTTAGCAGTGGATATGTACAAAATATTAGGGAAGGTATAATCTTGCTGTGTATTTTCCTTTTGTGTGTACATGAGCTAATGGGTCATGAAGGAAATACTACTTTTTATTCTAATGCTCAATTCTGTATTGCGGCTTGAAGCTTTGAGACTATTAGCATTATACCGATAATTGTTATGCTTTTTACTTTTCCTAAGGAGTGGTCACCTTTACCTTCTTAAGGACTTATTGGCACAACAGATTGTTCTATCTCTAATAACAAGGAAGAATTAATGTCCTCCAGCCTCTTGCAGGAGACTAAACCTCAAGGTCTCTGCTGTCGGGTCTTTATCTCTTTTGGAAGGAAAAGGAAATACTCATGGAGCTAGCTTTTATGCCTTCTCCCTTTCAGTCTGAAAACCACTTTATTCTGTATTTATGTATTGGATTTTCATGTGAAACTTCAGAGTAAACAGAGGATTCTAGAGCCAAAATCATTAGAAAACTGCTCTAGCTATTTTAAATTATAGTTTTGGACAAGGCTAAGTCATCATAATTTTTTTTATCTTCATAATAGAAATGTTTTCATTGAATTAACTTTGGTGTTATTCCAAGGATGTGCATTAATCTAATTTGCATGGTTTTATTTTAGAAATGTTGATGACATATTCCCTGTGTAATACTGTGTTCCCTTTCTGAAAACACACAAGTTTTCTGGTCTCAGTTCTGGGAAAAGTTGTGCTTCTCCTGGACACATTTTTTTTTTTTTGGTCTTTTTATTTTATTATTTTCCTATGGACGCCGTGAGTTATGTAACCTTTCAAGACTTTTTCCTCTGCTTTGGCCACCGGTTTCAAAATAAAAATTTGAACAGCTATGTGGATTATACACTACTTCATTATCTCATTTTTAAACCCCAATTTTCCCTTGTCCTGGTTTTTGTTTTTGTAAGATTTTATTTATTTGACAGAGAGCACAAGCAAGGGTAGAGGCAGGCAGAGGGAGAGGGAGAAGCAGGCTTCCCACTGAGCAGGAGCCCGACACGGGGTTCGATCCCAGGTCTGTGGGATCATGACCTGAGCCGAAGGCAGACCTTAACTGACTGGACCACCAAGACACTCATAGTTTTTGTTTTTTATACCGAAATTATGTACCTTACCTTCTTATTGACTTACTCTTCTCAAATGCTTCGTCCTTATCTGACAACACAAGTTGTCTGATATTTGTATAATAAAATAGAACATAAATAAAAATAAACAAAGTATGTAAAATAATGAAAGTATTATCAGCTGTTTTAATGGCTGGCTATAAAATTTTATAGACTTAGTTTTCTATTTTTTATAATAAAAATGTTGGTACTAGACAGAAGAGAAAACAGTGCGGTAATTTATAATCATTTTTACTAAGCACGGGCTTTCAAGCAACATGATTTAGATACCATAGCATTTGCATTGCAGATTTTCCCATGTTTGTGTTACTGTTGTTTTGATTTTTTTCACATTCTGGAATATTTTTGATAAACCATTCATATTAACTGAAAATTACTTTAGAAACAGCTTTAGTATAGCTTAGGTTAATCATTTTTCTATCTCGCTCTGACTTGTAATGATTATATTAATATTCATTACTGTTTGTCAGACAAATAGCAATTTAGCAGATGCTGATTTGGGGAGATAAGTAACAAACTTTTCTTGATGATGATTGCAAAAATTTGTTAAAGCCAAATAAAGGAAATATCACATGTAGCTTCTATGGTCTTATATGCAAAAATTCTAAATAAAATGTGAGCTTAACATCATAAAGAATAATGTATTCTGACAAATTTAATCCCAACACAGAAGCTGTAAGGTTTTCAGTTCATTTTACAAATAGCTTATATAGCCAAGGAAATTGATGTTTTTTCTGCTTTTATTCTCTGACATGTTGAAAAACAGTATGTAATGGTGATACTGCAGAAGGAGCTGTGGTATCCATCAGCTGGGTTTTGTTTAGTAAACACATCTGGCTGCGTTTATAATACTCAGCGGGAGCTGGTTCTGCGAAGACCGTGGTCCCTGAACACCGTTGGTTCGCTGCCTTTCCTCTGGGAATGGGAGGCCGGCTGTCGGGAGCCCCGCGTGCTGTACCAGCAGAGGCCTTTTTCTCCCCGTTGCCAGTGGTGTCTAAATTTGGAAGGAACAAGAGGATTGTTGGATAATCCTTTGCTTCATTTAATTGCGTGTGTTTTACGTCCCTGTTTTTCTGGCTGCCTCGTTCGTACTGGTTGCCAGGAGTGAGCGGTGGTTACGACAGATGCGGTGATGCATGAGGAAGGGGTGACTGTAAATACTGATACGCTGCTTCTAACAGGTCCCACTGTTCTTAGCCCCCGAAGTGACTGACTCTCTCTTTTACAAAACTCCACGAGCTAAGTATTGTTATATTCTTCATTATACAAATAAAACACTGAGTCCGTGTCTTGTCCAAGAGCACAGAGCTGGTCGGTGGTGGCACAAGGCTGTGCACCAGGGCAGCCGGCGGCAAAGTCTGTGGTTCTAAACACAGCATGGAGTCCCTTTTGGTAGGTCCTTCCTGTCCCCACAAGAACTGTAGTTGATGACAGGATCATGGGTATTGTCTATCTCTTCTTTTTCTTTTGGCATTTCAGTAACAAATAGAAGAAACTTTCAGGGCACCAGAGGTGGCCAGAGCAGGGCAGTTCGGTCTGACTTTCCTCTTCGTTCCCTGCACTCCCGTGTCTGTTAGGACCTCTGCACACAAAGGCCAGATCTCTGTTCCCAGTACTCTCGGAGACCAGGGCTGTTAAAGAGGAAATTAATAAGATCTTAGTTGTTGGTTTTCTTTTGAGCATTTTGTTTAAATTTTTTTCTTTATATTTTAATAGGTAATAAAAGTCAGAAACATGTTCTGAGACCTGAATCTCTTGAAGGGACAGACGAAGAGGACCCAGTGACAGCTGTGGAATGGGACCCACTGTCTACCGATTATCTCCTTGTGGCTAATTTGCATTTTGGAATTCGCCTGCTAGATTCGGAATCACTTTATTGCATAACAACATTTAATTTTCCCAATGCAGCAGCTTCTGTGCAGTGCTTGGCCTGGGTTCCCAGTGCTCCTGGGATGTTTGTAACTGGGGGTAAGTTTACCCTGTTCCCCAAAGTTTTAAATATATGTATATTCTCTAACTGAATCAGGGAAATTATATTCTTTTTTTGGTTAATTTTGTATAAAATGTATTAATATCCTAATGTTATTATTTATTATAGTAAGTGCTTACTTTACTTTTATTTACACTGTATTTCATTAACATAAAGACAAATAAATATGAAATGAAGGCTCAGTTTTCCAGGTTTCTGGTTATAAAGTGGAATGTATTCTGTGTGTGTGACATGTGCCATGTGTCTGCGTTTACATTTATCATTGTGTTGTAGGAGTAATAGTCACTGAGTCTGATGGTGACTCTGTTTAATCACTGGAGGAACTGCCAGAAAGTCTCCCAGAGTAGCTTCTACGTAATAGGTGGGATTTTTGGGAAGCGAGGGAGCTTCCTAATTAGTCTTTGGTATATCAGGCAGTCTTGGTTGCAGGTGAGCAAGGGAGCAGTTTAAATACATTTCAAAAGACAAAATATTATTTACTGTTAGAGGTGGAGAGTTTTTGTAGCTGGCTTTCCTAGAGCAGGTGTGTCAGTGGGGTGCTTTTTTTGTGATCAGACTCTGATGACCTTTGTAGGGGAAGCTGCCAAAACGGGCAGTCTTTCACTCTAGGGAAGGATCTGGAACAGAAAAAAGCAAAATAAGCCAAACATTAAAAGGACGAATAGCATTTCACCTGTTTCTTTGGGTTATTGTACATTATTGTTTGAAGAATGTCAGTAAGTGGTGCTACAAATCTTGCAAGTTTAAGTTTTTGTTACTACTTTTATGTCTGGGCATTTTATGTTTCAAATAAAACTAGTTAACATAATACTTTTTTCTTGATCTGGCTAGATTCTCAAGTGGGTGTTTTGCGCATTTGGAATGTTTCAAGAACAACACCTATTGATAATTTTAAATTAAAGAGGACAGGGTTTCACTGCTTACATGTGCTTAATTCTCCTCCACGAAAAAAATGTAAGTAAAAATATCATCAAAATTTAGTATTTTAAGATGTCGGATTTATTGCTATCAAATACAATGATCATTATAATATTAACATATCACATGAACATAATAAAAAAATAAATGTACACTGTGTGTTAACCTACTGGAAATTAGATAAAAATGTGGAAAGAAAAAAGAAAATAAACATACCAAATACTATATGTTACTGAAAACAAGATTTTTAAAATTAGCCTTTGACAGTATGTGTACTAAAGGAATCATCAAGGCCACATGATCTCTAATATTACTAATTTGAAAATATTTAGAGCCAGGTTACATTTTTAAAATGCTAATAAATGGAGATATTAAGATAATATCTTATCCTGTAAGATAAGATAAGCCTCTCCTTTTCTACCCTATGCTGGGGTAGGGCCAGAGAAGTAATATGCTGGACGCTAGCATACTGTTAATATATCCTGTATTTTTTTAAGTTATTAGTTTCTTTGTTTAGTTGTTATCATGGGATGACTGAAATATGACAGATTCTCTTCTTTCATATTTTCTTTCTTATTATAAGAGTAGCCCCGACCCATTAGAGGAAAAACCAAAAATATAAAGAAGCACATACCGATCTTGTCATTATTAAGCAAGTCCTTTCAGGCTACCTATTATTAGACATCTTGGTTTTTTCCTCCCAATTTTTTAAAGTAACAGAAAGTGTGGAATAAGAAAAATGATGTGAAAATGAAAAATTTTAGATGTAGACTTACTCACCAAATCCTTTAAAAAAATAAATTGCAGGGGCGCCTGGGTGGCTCAGTGGGTTAAGCCTCTGCCTTTGGCTCGGGTCATGATCTCAGGGTCCTGGGATCAAGCCCTGCATTGGGCTCTTTGCTCAGCAGGAAGCCTGCTTCCCCCTTTTTCTCTGCCTGCCTCTCTGCCTGCTTGTGATCTCTCTCTCTCTCTCTGTCAAATAAATAAATAAAATCTTTTAGAAAAATAATAATAAATAAATAAATAAATTACAGATACATAGGTACATAAAAGGTATCAACACAACCCGTAAGGTCAACAAATTAAAATATTAGAAGAACCGGCCATGGAACATACTAATTTTAATGAAGCTGTCAGCAATATTTTATTGAACCAAATGCCTCTTTTGTTATTAGTAGTTTATGCTAGTTTGGACCTACTGTCATTCTCAGATTCTGAGAAATGAGTATTATCCAAATGAGTGCAACAAAGAAGACTTTATTATATTTGGACCAAAAAGAGAATTTACTGGGAAATATTTATCTATATTCCACTAAGTAATTAATATAGATTAGCCTGATCATTTCCAGCAGTATCATTATTTTGAATTATGTTTGCAAGAGAATATTCATGTTCTAAGGAACAACTTCTTGAAAGAAGACAAAAAATGAGATAAAGAACGTACAGAGAGACATTTATGTAATTTAAAATTGAGACATGGAAGTGAATGAACAGTGAAAATAAACCGAGGAAGAAGAGGGGAGAATTGAGATGCAAATGTATGTCAGACAGTTGTGATTCTTAATTTGGGTGCTAAATTACAGTGAATTATAAAGAACTTCAAAAAGAATTATTTTCACTGGATTGGAAATTAGTGGAAGAGAGTTATTAGCTTTAAAATAAAAACATTCTCATGGATGTTTGTGTGTGTAGAGGGGAAGTAAGTCATTAGTCAGCATTTTGAAAAAAGATTCTAATTAAAAAATAATGATGCTGCCGTTTCATTTATGGGGTGATAAGAAATCAAATAGTCACAACATGTTGTGGTTCCTCACTCACTAATTTCCATCCATTTTGCTGCACCTGCATTTTTATACATCTCTTCAAAATAACATCCACTTTTATGTACCCATATGTATAATTTTTGGCAGTGCTGCAGAAGCACTTCTGTGGTGGAAAATGGTTCTTGCCTCATGGTTTGCTGACATAAATTCTGGATAAAAGAAAGCAGAGGCATTTTTATAAATTAGACCCTGTGGTTTCATTCCAGTTTCTGGGAAGCTGTTGGTGTAAATATTTACTTATCTATATTTTCTTTTTTAGTTTTAGCCCAGTCTCCAACTAAAAATCATTATATGTCCTCGACAAGTGAAGCAGTTCCACAACCGACTTTGACACAAAATCAGGCATTTTCTCTTCCTCCTGGGCATGCAGTGTGCTGTTTCTTGGATGGTGGAGTTGGACTTTATGACTTGGGAGCCAAGAAATGGGATTTCCTTAGGGATTTGGTATGTTTGTGCTCATTCCTACTTTAATACACCACACTTATTTTGTGTTAGCTCTTGATGTTTACTTTTACTTACATGCATGACTGTTTTAAGTTATTTTCATAAAGAGTTGTATGTTAGGACTTTATCTTGGTTGGCTAAAACATTTTAGAATTGTGTGTAGAATGAGAGATGACAAAACTAGGACAATTCTTAAAATTTTAAGTGTTAAACTTCTTTCAATCTTGATGTTTATTTAGCTTATTTTTTTTTAATTTAGCTTATTGTGATTATTCTGCGTGGTTGGTAGTGTTCCCATTCTTGTGTACGCCCCATTGATCCTTCATATAATATTGGAAAATTGCATTGCAGTACTATATTTTGGAAGCAAAACGAGAAATAAGTATTCTTTCAGGAGGAAGGACAAGTCCATCTGTACCAGTTACTCCAACCTTTATTGTTCATATCTGTGAAATGAACAAGGTTGGGTTCAGTGTTTTCTGAGATTTTCTAAGACTTCTAAGATTTTTGCTGTTATCAAATCAATACAATGATTCTAGTATTCTGTGAACATTTGTTCTTGTGATCTTTAAGCCTCCATATAAAATAAGAGTACAACCTCGCTGAGGACTCGCATTTTTGACTGGTTTTGCTCTATGTATGCTTAAACCCCCTCAATAGTGCCCAGCACATAGCAAGACTTTATTCAGTTTTGTTGAATGAAGGAATTTGTGAATGAATGAAGGCATGTAATAATGTATATTGTGTTATAATTGCGATTTGTCAAGAATCCACTTCTTTAAATCTCCCTATTTGATAGGGCATAAAAATGCCTTCTTAGGGGCACCTGGGTGGCTCAGTGGATTAAGCCGCTGCCTTCGGCTCAGGTCATGATCTCAGGGTCCTGGGATCGAGTCCCACAACGGGCTCTCTGCTCGGCAGGGTGCCTGCTTCCCTCTCTCTCTCTCTCTGCCTGCCTCTCCATCTACTTGTGATCTCTCTCTGTCAAATAAATAAATAAAATCTTTAAAAAAAAAATGCCTTCTTATTTTCTACAGGTCTGCACTAGACTCATCTAGACTTTTAAAAAACTTTTATATGTTGGTTGTTTTTCTGGGGAAAAACTTTGAAAAGGAATCTAGAGCTATAATCACCCTTGTAAAGAAATTGAGGGAAAGAAAGTAATATTGTATCACTTTAGAACAAATTTAATTTTGTCCTCGAGTGAAAAAATTGAAATATGGCCAAAAAAATCTTATAACAGTGTGTAGCTTAGTTATTTTTATTCCTTTTGCAGATAGATTATTCCCTTTCCATGTCAACTTTTTATGTAAACTTGTTTCTAGTGTGGTCAACTCTTCCTGTACTTCAAATTACCATTTACTTTCCCAAAAATGTATGAAAAGGAAGAGAGAAAAATATAAGAATACATTTAAATCTATAAAAACTTGTATTAGCAAAGGAGAAATCATGTAATCTAAGTTCAGTAGCATTTCTGTTGATTGTGTATCTTCATGTTAAAGTATTTTATTTAGAAAACTGTATTATTTGATAGTTCTCATTAAAAACTAAAATACTCTTGATTATAAATTATTTCAGTGGCTTGTTTTCACTTTAATAATGCCTGCCAGCCAGAGAACATAATGATTTTTTCCCTAATAATTTTCAAAGAATAAGGTTGTTAGAAAATTTTGAACAAGACTAATTAAAAATCAAGATTATGCTGGATTCTTTTTATTTCTGCCAAAATCATGAAGTTCTCTTGGAGTATGTCATTGGTATAAAAAAGAGAAGGTTTGCATTTAAGGAACTGTAGTTTTAATTTCATCTTAGTCTTTTATCACACTTCCAGAATGACATAATAACTATCACTAGTTCATTGTTTTATAAATTTCTAGGACGGTATCATGTATATGATAATCAGAAAAGATATGTTTTGCATTCTTTTGTTTTTTTAACACCTTTGTATTTAGTTGCTGATTGGAGGCGTTGTGGTTGAATAAAATCTAGGTCTGTACAAAAGAGTAAAATAACAGCATAGAGAACATTCAACCACAACAGTGATTCTAATTTTGTACATATATATATATATATATATATTTTGTGTAAATATTTGAAAACTATAGTACATATGTCAACTTGATTATACATTGTTGTTTGTTAATAACACGAATCTTCCTCAGTAGTTGTCACTTCTCTATGCCACGTTCCTAGGGACATGTGGAAACGATCTTTGACTGCAAATTCAAACCCGATGATCCCAATCTTCTAGCAACAGCTTCTTTTGATGGCACTATAAAAGTCTGGGACATAAATACATTAACAGCTGTGTACACCTCCCCGGGTAATGAAGGGGTTATTTACTCCCTATCATGGGCCCCAGGTAAGAAGTGTTGTATTAAAATCAAGAATGCAGTTAAAGGACTCTCCTAACTTTTGTTTTCATTTGAATTATATCCTTCTCTCAATGCCACCTTGCTTCAAATAATTGTAGGGACAAATTAGTACCAATATATATGTTGGTTCCGTTTTTGTGGGGGTTTTGAATAAACTGCCCCGTGCAGGCACTTTGATTTCTGGACCTTTCTATATGACATAATCATATACAAAAGCCACAGTCAATAAGGATGATCTTGACCATCTAATTTTAGCTGCATTTGTATAGCTATGACTTTCAAGGTGTAACAGATTTTATGTGACAAAAGTTTTCCTTAAAATTTTCATATGAATCAAATACATGAAATTTTTAAAAAAATAATATAGATCTTTCCCTGATAACATATGTTTTTATTTATTTATTTATTTATTTTTTAAGATTTTATTTATTTATTTGACAGAAATCACAAGTAGGCAGAGAGGCAGGCAGAGAGAAAGGGGGAAGCAGACTCCCTGCTGAGCAGAAAGCCCGAAGGGGTTTGATCCCAGGACCCTGAGATCATGACTTGAGCCAAAAGGCAGAGGCTTTAACCCACTGAGCCACCCAGGCGCCCCTAACATCTGTTTTTAAATATGAATGATTCTGTATAATCACAGATCAATGTTGACAATGTAATTTGATATAAATCCCACCATCGTAACATTGAAGAACTTCTGTGCCAGAATAGGGTCTTTTGTTTGATCTCAGAAAATTGCTACCTTTATACCTTCCCATACATAAAGGAGAGAAAAGATGTCCTTGAAACCTGACATTTTTTCTCCAAAACATTATTTCCCTATCTCATTTTGCACACCCAAATGAATTTTTCACTTTATAAAGTATATAGAATGCTTTTCTTACTTGTCCTAGTGGTAACATATTTAAACCCAACTATAACCAGGATATAGCTTATTTTTTAGATTATCTCCTCGTGCACAGCGATTTTTAGTCTTAAATTTATGGGCTGTCAAGGGTTTTAGATGTCTTTAGGGATGCCGGGAATCTCTTGGATTTTATGCATGAAAGTTTTAGCCTATATGTGTGCATGCCTGTGTCTGTCAAAGATTATCATAGGAATCAGATTTTCAGAAAGGTCCATGATACAAAAAAGGTTAAGAAGCTAGTGCTGTTTTATTTATCCCTTATTGCCCCAATGAGCAGAAGATCCAGAAGAAGGTTTTACTTCCAACTCTTACTCTGACAGTAGTTGTTTCTGTAAGCAGAATATACTTAGTGCCATCATGGATACAAGGCCAATTGAAAAAAAAAAAGTTACTTCACTAAGAAATGAGGCACAAAAAGAGCTAATTAGGTCTCTTCTTCATGTTCATCCCCATTTGACGTTTTGTGCTTACCAACATTTATTTAAGAGGGTCTGAGAGGCTGAATAACTTCCCCAGCTTACATTCCTCACGAATGATGGCAGAAGTGAGGTCTACACAGGCAGACTTGGGCCTGGGCTCCCACTCAGTGCCATATGTATGCTTCTGTACGGGGGGGGGCCCCGGCTGGCGGCACAGAGACATGGCGCTGTGGCAGCTCCTGGCTGAACAGTTCCTCCTCCACAGTATTACCTCAGCCTCACACCTAAAACTGAAATAGAAATCGCAACTGTCAAAACCGTTGTTCTGATTCAGAACACAGAACCCGATCTTACCTAAAGCATTAGTTCACTCTCTGGAAAGCAGGACTGTTGGAAAATGAAAATTCTTTAATTTTTTGAAATGTGATTACTGATGAAGCACTACTTTTAGCTAAGTATGGTTAAAATTTAAAAGATTTACGAAGGTCGATAGGCTTGGAAGTCTAGTAGGGTTTAGAGGATTGTGTAACTTGCTGTCCTTTTAGAGTAGCAACCGCAGGAGAAGAAAAAAAAGTACAAATTAATATGGAAACTTCTCCTCAATAATTTGAGAACCCAAAAAAGGAGAGCAGAATGAAAATACTAGAAAAATGGTAAGGACTTATTTTTTTAAGGTTTTTAATCATTTATTCCAAAGTATTTCCTCCATGTCTTACTTGTAGGTAGCACAGGACAACTGTTCCTTTGTTATAATGCAGAAAGCCTCTTTGACTGCCTTGCAAAAAACACTCATGTATCAGAACATCTGCTAACTTAGCAGCAGTTTGATGTGCATGAATCTTTTTGTTTCTTAAAAACAAAGAGCATTGTTTAGGTTTTTGATTTAAAGAACCTGGATTTTTTCATGTGTTCTGCTTACAGAAATGCTTTCCTAACCAAAAAGAAAAAAAAAAACAACTCATTAGATGCAGTGTAAAGAAAAATGTAAATACTGACTGGATAAGTGATAGTATTGAAGAATTATTGATAATTTTTGTGTTCGTGATTGTGATAGTTTGGTCATGTTAATGAAAGAGTCTTTTAGACATTTGTACTGAAGTATTTATTGGTGAAATGATAGACTGTCAGAGATTTGCTCCAAAGAAACCCAAGAGAGACTATAGACAAAATGAGAGTTGACCATATTTTGATAATTGTTGAAGTTGTATAACACATTCATTATACTATTTTCTCTTTCCATATATTTGATAATTTTCATCAATAAAAACTTAGAAAAACTGCATTGTAAATTGCAAGTCCTTTTCAAAAATTAACATTTTGGAAAGAATTACATGTGTGGCAGACATTTCATATAATGTCTAACAAATTGTTTCCTAAGGTGACTTAAATTGTATTGCTGGAGCAACTTCCCGAAATGGTGCCTTTATTTGGGATGTTAGGAAGGACAAAATGGTGCAACGATTTAATGAGGTAAGGTGTATTTATTGGTAGCCGAATAGTACAATGTCTTATACTGCCTCATGTTTTGTAAATGCTTTTCTCTCTTAGTTTAATAATCACCAGGTGACATTATGTTCTGTCACTTGGAAAAAAAAAGTAAGAGAACATACACATGTTGAAATGAATTCTGAAACATATAGATGGGTCTAAGATAAAAGAATTCACCTACAGTTGCATTAGACATTCAAAGGAATTATGATTTATTCTCCACAAAATTATCTGGACAAATATTCAATAGTTGTAAGAAGAGTAAACTCGAAACAAGTTCCAAATTACAGTCTAAATTCTGTTACAATTCACTTTTCACGTAGGGAGAACCGTTTAATATCATAAACCTGATTCTTCACCTGTAAGATGGGAAAGTTGGATTTATACAGTTTCGTGGACTTCCTTCCACCTCCCAAATTCTGTTCCTCCAGGACAAGTGCTAAGACCATGCCCCTTCCTGCTGGTAGTGGCAAACATTGTACTTGACTTCTGCCTGGAGTTTAATTGTCATCCTGTGTTTTACTGAGTCCCACTAATACTTGGAAACTGCATGTGATCTCACTGTAATATGTTGGATATGAATCAAGGGAAATAAGAAAGGATCTCTCTTTTGAAATTTCACTCATTTCAAATGATTACTGTTGGAGTTTATTGAAGATATAATCTATTTGAAAATGACTTTAAAGCTATTTATACAAAAAACTGATCTTCCTCTGAGGATCAAGCAGCTTTGATCTTTTAGGGGACACTAAAGTAATGTGGAAAATGCAGAGTATTAGGGAAACTTTACCAACCACCAGTAAGCAATTTTGCCCCCAAAAGAGGAAGCTTTGACAAAGGCCCATATAGTTCCCATCCTCCCTTTCTCTACAGCGCAGTGCTTTCAGTTCAGCAGTGCCCCCGACCTGCCCTTCGCCCTCCGGTCAAGAACAGCACTGATCCCATAATAGTCATGTAAAAAGAAAAGAGATAAATCTGAGAAAGAAACTTTTGACCTAAATTCAGGGATATTATCCTTGGGCGTCATTCTGTTGAACTCTTCTTACTGCATCTTGGCCTCTTGTGACCTCAGATGTCTGCCCATCAGCACTGTGACGGCCCCAGCCTGACTCCAGCAACCAGTATCCTAGCATGGGGGTTGAGGGTGACCCTCACTTCCTTTCATGTCTTCCCAGCATTCCAGAGCATAGTCGTGACTGATAGAAAAAGTGCTTAAATCTGGGATTAAATCTAGGATCCTAAATCTAGGATAATAAATACGGGGCGGTGCTGGCTGTAATTAACTGAGTTACACACGTCTCACAGAAGGAAATGCCGGGTCTTAGAAACCCTAAGTTGCACTTTTCCTGGGATAAACGAAGCTGACGGAAGGCCTGTACTCCTTCAGTTCCATGAATATAGAGATTGTCTCCATTTTATGCCCATCTTTGTACAGCTACCCCCTTGATCCGCAAAGAGGGAGAAAACAGCCAGCTAGAGACCACTTCAGTAACGTTGCCTTAAAACTCAAAACTTTAGTCTCTCCTTAGCAGCAGCCACAACTGAACTGCTATATAAAGTTAAAGAAAAGTTGGAAACGGATCGATGGCAACATTTATTCTCCCATGCCCTGCTGATGAATGACATTCCCATATGTAGTATATTCCTTGTGGTTTTACAAATCCTCATCATACTGGTTGTGACTGTATCCCTTCCCCTCCCCCAATCCAAGAAAGCAGAGGAACAGGTCAATATAGAGTGGTTTGTGACAGGAAGAACCTTAAATCCTTCTTTGTTTTTATAAAACAGAAATCTTTGAGAATTAGAACAACCAGTAATAACAGTTGCGGTGTTTCTCCCATTGTGTTTGTGGTAGCACCGGCTTAGGAAGCGGAGAGATCCCTGCCTTTGTCTCCATGCAGGCACTTCTAGAAAAGGCATCAAGCACGGCTTTATTCTGCAGATCTCCGCTCTCTGCCAGCGTCTGCAAAACCGAAACAGAGCCACTTAATCGATATCTTAGCAGAGGGGGTTGGTTTTTTAAGTGTGTTAGCTTCCTACATTTTTAAAGTATATGTTCCGTTTCTGCTGTTGACAGTAATACCCCTGTTAGCATCATCTAGAGTAAGTTCCTAACAGAAGAGCAATACTAGAAGTAAATAAATAAGAGAAAAAAAGGGGTGAATTATTTTTTATTGATAGGTATTTTGCATTTTTTGAAGCATGGAAAAAATGGAATATTCTGTGTTGCCTGGAGTCATAAAGATTCCAAAAGAATAGCTACCTGCAGTGGGGATGGCTTCTGGTAAGTACCTGATATGAAGTTGTACTGCTTATTAAAGATGCACGTGATAGTACCAGTTGTGTCCTGTTAGCACATACATCCGGGTTGTCCACGAGATCCCATCTGTACGGCTCCACCAGCTGTCGTCAGTGCATGTGTACCAGCCCACATGGGCACAGGCCGTGTTCTGTAACAGTACCAAATCAGAGTGTGGTGAGGTTTCAAATAAATAAACCAGTCATTTCTTTCTAAATGAAAATACTTCCTGAGTCGTAACTAAAATACTGTGAATGCCTCAAAGAGACTTTAAGAACTTTTCGCTAAGAGTCTTGTTAATCCTCATCACGTTTTTGAGGGAGTGGTATTTCAGTTTCATGGGTGATTCAAGAGATATCAAGCGGACTAGACACTTGTTCGCCTTTTGTAGATGCCATTATTTATAAAAGGATGAAAAGCCTTTGCAAGAAGGAATAAGGCATGTGGGAAATGCGTAATGGCTCTGACCCTTTGTTTCAGAAACCAGTGCTTTCTTAATTCTGCTAAATCCCAGGACAAAGTAGGTTTCCAAGGAATATATATGTAAGGGAAGAATCGCCTTTGAGCTGAACAAATGTTTTTATCCAGATGTTGCTGTTGTGTGGCTGTAGGTTTTGTCATTGTCGACAGGTGGTAGAGTCGCGCGTGGCAGCAGGCAATGTAGGAGAGATGGTCTCCTGTTGGGTTTGGCAGGCCACAGCCCAATTTTCTCGTCCTCTCTTTAATTTCAGTGAAAAAGACAGTTGTTATGGAAACCAAAGATCTTCACCAGGAAGGGGAAATTTTCCAAAAATAGGCATATTAGTGATTTTTTTGCCTTGAAAAGAACTATTTGCTAATTGATAAATACCAAAATACAATAGATGTGCTTCAGAGTTTTTTGATAAGGTGATCCACAGGTAGCTTTACCATGGGCTTTCAGGACATCACTGGTTTGATAAATAACCATAGGCAATGACTAAACATTTGCAACCACTTCCCAGTAGCCTCAGAAGTTTTCATTGGCCTAATGATGATTTGGAGGATCTTTTCTTAAGACTTTTAAAACTCTGTGATACATTAATTTATACATAGTTCCTGCTGCTGCTGCTGCTTCTTCTTTTTCTTCTTCTTTTTTTTAATCAATTGCCCTTTGTTATGGCAATGATATAGTTGGGTTTTAGAGCCTCTTTAACTTTTGCAGCTAAAATGTATTCTTTTGGGGAGAAGAGATCCTCCAAATTTCTAGTTATGTAACTCAGAACGTGCCACAACAATGTTACAGCTTGCATGTCTTGGACTTGGTAAAATAGTACATGCAACTTGCATTATAAATGAGCTCTTTGAAATATAAATTTTGAACTGCTAAATTTTGAAGCTGAAAATTGAAAGCATATGTTAGTTATATCATTGTTTCAAAATATATGTTAAACTATGTTTTTTCTCAACTAAAAATATTCTATAAGAAATTCTATAAAAAATATTTCGATAAGAAATAGAATATAAAAATATTCTATAAGAAATATTCTAAATCAAAATTTACACCTTCAAATTGATTTAAGTAGATTGCCATAGTTAATACTGTCTGATATAAATATACTCACTCATAATTGGTGATATCATTTACTCAGTATTTTTAAATGTTCCCTGTGCTTTGAAGACAAGGTCTCTATCCTAAAAAACTTACTTTTGAATTATAAAATACTGGCTTTGTTTTTGTAAATAATGTATTTGGAATGTTTTTTTTTTTCTATTAATCTATTATACTTAATTTCAGTATTATTCGAACAATTGATGGTAAAGTGCTACACAAATACAAACATCCAGCTGCGGTGTTTGGTTGTGATTGGAGCCAGAACAACAAGTAAGAATTTCTTTTTTTCCCAAGATAAATAATAACTTCTGAGATTTTAAATAAACCTGAAATTTAATGTTATTCCCACAGGTAATACTCATCACTCTCTTTAGGGTAATGATCTCATTGTCTGGCCTTGTAATTGATTGTTTATGTTAGCTGGTGTTTAGGAAGAAGCATAGGACTAACTAATAAGAAATGGAAATTTAGGGGCACCTGGGTGGCTCAGTGGGTTAAGCCACTGCCTTCGGCTCAGGTCATGATCTCAGGGTCCTGGGATTGAGTCCCGCATTGGGTTCTCTGCTCAGCAGGGAGCCTGCTTCCCTCTCTCTCTCTCTCTCTCTCTCTGCTTGCCTCTCCATCTACTTGTGATCTCTGTCAATAAATAAATAAAATCTTAAAAAAAAAAAAAGAAATGGAAATTTAGTCTGAATCTCTATGTGGCTTCTACCATGGAAGTGTATGTGACCCTTTCCCTAAACCCTTTCAGGAGTCTCGCCAGTGGTGTTATTCCACCACAACTTTCCACTGTCCTCCCCTCTGCAATGCCCTGACACTGGATGATTTCCCGAAATGTAGAACTTATGTGCATAGTTTTGAAGGGTCATCCTTCCTTACAAGCCTAGTATTTACCATGTAAAAGTCAAGTCAGATTTAAAAATTAATCCAAGTCAAATCCCCACTAAAACTGATCCTTCAAGTGACTGCACTTCCAAGAATCTTGCATGTCAAGCCTCTTTTTATTCTGTATAAAGTGTACTTAAAGATTCAAACTTCCTTTAGATATTGTGAAAATAATGTGAAATTATGTTTTTCCACATTGCAAGTGGAAAATATACATATTATAATATTAAAACCTTGTTATACTTGTGTTCTGGGTTAAATCACATAAAAAATAATGGATCTGTGTATTTCTTTCAGTAAATATAGAAGAGTTTATAAACCTTATAAACCTATAAAACCTGTCAGAGGTTTTATGCAAAGTGAGCTCATGCCCAGCTCCTCCCCCAGGATTCTCCATCTAAGTGGCCTGATAATGTTCATAACAAAGCTGCAGAAGCCAAAATCCTTGGCCTCTTCTCTTATGCCTTGTCATCTGTCCATTTCCATTTCCAGTCTGCCGTCAAGTCCTATGATACCATCCATGTAAATACTCTTTTTTCTAACCACTCCTTTCCCCTCCCCAACCCAATACTACTTGTTTGCTTTTGGACTTCCTCAAAAGCCTTCTAAATCAATTCCAGAGTTCACATCCTTTGTCACCAGTTCCTTGTCTCCCTGCCCCACCTTCTTGATGTGAAGTCAAAGTATTTAACAACCGATCTCAGTGCACCATTGCATTGCTTACACTGATTGTAGGGTAAAATGCAAAATCTTAGGGGCCGGATAGGGCAGTCCTTGTATAATCTGGTTCCTGTGTGTTTTAATCATGCCATTGCAAGCCTGGCTCCCCCTTGTTCTTTGCATTCAGCCACACTGGCTTTCAGTTTCTTGAACTAGTCAGCTCATTTTCATACCAAAGCTTTCTCTCATGCTGTCTCCCTATATCTAGGAATCTCTTCCCCACCCCATGCACACAACCCTTCTATATTGTATTTAGGAAACATCCACCTATATTCTAGCCCTCAGCATCAAACCACTTCTACAGAAGTGTTTCTGGACCCCCATGTTAGGTAAATTTCTTCTGTGATATCCTGGGAGCACTTAATAAAAGTAATTATAACAAATAAAATTAATAAAGATGAGAGCAGAAATAAATCATAGAGGAGTGCCTACTTGGCTAGTTAGTGGAGCACGCAACTCTTGATCAAAGGGTTGTGAGTTCCAGCCCCATGTTGGGTATAGAGATTAACTAAAAATAAAATCTAGGAAGGAAGGAAGGAAGAAAATAGAAACTAAAACAAATAAAATAAAACCACATTTAAAAAAAAAAAAAAGGCAATAGAACAGATCAATGAAACCAGGAACTGGGTTCTTTGAAAAGATAACAAAATTGCTAAACCTCTAGCAAGACACATTGTAAAAAACAAACAAACAAACAAACAAACAACAAAACCAAATAAAATAACTAATGGAAGAGGAGAAATAACAGCCAATACCACAGAAATACAGTTATAACAATATCATGAAAATCTTTATGCCAATAAATTGGGCAACTTAGAAGAAATGGATAAATTCCAAGAAACATATGATCTACCAAAACTAAAGCAGGAAAAAATAGAAAATTTGAACAGACCAATCACCAGCAATGAAATTGAATCAGTAATCAAAAAGCACCCAAGAAACAAAAGTTCGGGACCAGACAGCTTCACGGGCAAATTCTACCATTTAAAAAAGAGCTAATATCTTTTGTTCCTAAACTATTCAAAAAATACAAGAGGAAGGAAAACTTCCAAAATCATTCTGTGAAGCCAGTATCACCCTGATATCAACCAGATAAAGCAACCAGGGGAGGAAAAAAAAAAAAGAGAAAGAGAGAGAGAACTACACACCAGTATTTCTCATGAATATAGATGCAAAAGTCCTTAACAAAATATTAGCAATCTGAATACAACAGTATATTTTAAAAAATCATATACCACCATCAAGTGGGATTTATTTCTAGGATGCAAACGTTGTCCAATATTTGCAAGACAATCAGCATGATACATCACATCAGTAAGAAGAAGGATAAAAACCCTATGATCATTCCAATTGATGCAGAAAAACCTTTGACAAAGTACAATATCCATTCATGATAACCCTCTGCAAAGTGGGCCTACAGGGAACATATCTCAACATAATAAAGTCCTCATCTGAAAACCCCACAGTCACTATCATACTCAGAAAGCATAGAGCTTTCCTCCCAAGGTCAGGAATAAGACAATAATGTCCACTCTCACCACTCTTAGTCACCATATTACTGGAAGTCCTAGCTACAGCAGTCAGACAACATAATGAAATAAAAGGCATCCATATTGGCAAGGAAGAAGTAAAACTTTCACTATATGCAGATGGTTTAGGAAACCCTAAAGATTCCAGCAAAAAACCACTAGAACTGATAAATGAATTCAGTAAAGTTGCACAATATAAAATCAATGTACAGAAATCTGTTGCATTTCTATACACTAATAATGAAGCATCAGAAAGTGAAATTAAGAAAACAATCCTGGTTATAATTGCACCAAAACCAATTAAAACATCTAGGAATAAACTTAACCAAAGAGGGAAAGGCCTGTACTCTGAAAATGATAAAACACTGATGAAAGAAACTGAACACAAAGAAATGGAAAGACATCCCGTGCTCAGTGGGTTGGAAGAGCAAATGTTAAAATGAATAGATAATGAAGATGTGGTGTGTATATGTAGAAATACACAATGGAATACTATTCAGCTGTGAGAAAGAATGGAATCTTGCCCTTTGCAACAACATGGATGGAGCTAAACAGTATAACGCTAAGCAAACTAAGTCAGAGAAAGACAAAAACCATATGATTTCACTCATGTGTGGAATATGAGAAAGAAAACAAATGAGCAAAGGAAAACAAAAAGAGAAAGATGCAAACCAAGAAACAGACTCCTAACTGTAGAAAACGGTCCGATGGTTTCCAGAAAGGAAGTGGGTGAAGAGATGGGGGAAATATTGGATGTATATTGAAGAGCACACTTACCATGATGAAAAAAAAAATCAACTATGAATTACTTGACACAGAACTATTAGCCATATGAGTTAAATATATATATATATATATATATATATACATATATATATATATATATATAATTTTAAAAAACCATAATTACTTCTTTCAAAGAACCAGCTCCTACTTTCATTGATTTGTTACACATTTCATAGCACTCTCCATAGTACATACCCTCCCCAGTGTCCACCACCCAGCCACCCTATCCCTACCCTCCCACCCCCCAGCAACCCTCAGTTTGTTTCATGAGATTAAGGGTCTCTTATTGTTTGTCTCCTTCCCAATCCCATCTTGTTTCTTTTTTTCCCTCCCTAGCCCCCAGGATCCCCCACCCTGCCTTTCAAATTCCTTATATCAGAGAGATCATATGATAAATGTCTCCCTCTGATTGACTTATTTCATTTAGGATAATACCCTCTAGTTCCATCCACGTCATTGCTAATGGCAAAATTTCATTTCTTTTGATGGCTGCATAGTATTCCATTGTATATATATACCATATCTTCTTTATCCATTCATCTATTGATGGACATCAAGGCTCCTTCCATTGTTTGGTTATTGTGGACATTGCTGCTATAAACTTTAGGGTGCACATGCCCCTTCAGATCACTACATTAGTATCTTTAGGGTAAATACCCAGTAGTGCAATTCCTGGGTCGTAAGGTAGCTCTATTTTCACCTTTTTGAGGAACCTCCATGCTGTTTTCTAGAGTAGCTGCACCAACTTGCATTCCCAAGAATAGTGTAGGAGGGTTCCCCTTTCTCCACATCCTCACCAACACCTGTTGTTTCCTGACTTGTTAATTTTAGCCATTCTGACTGGTGTCTGGTGGTATCTCACTGTGGTTTTGATTTGTATTTCCCTGATTTCTAGTGATGTTGAGCACTTTTTCATGTGTCTTTTGGCCATTTGGATGTCTTCTTTGCAGAAATGTCTGTCATGTCTTCTGCCCATTTCTTGATTGGATTATTTGTACTTTGGGTGTTGAGTTTGATAAGTTCTTTATAGATTTTGGATACTAGCCCTTTATCTGATATGTTATTTGCAAATACCTTCTCTCATTCTGTCAGTTGTCTTTTGGTTTTGTTGACTGTTTCCTTTGCTGTGCAAAAGCTTTTGATCTTGATGAAGTCCCAATAGTTCATTTTTGCCCTTGCTTCCCTTGCCTTTGGCAGTGTGTCTAGGAAGAAGTTGCTGGGGCTGAGGTCAAAATGGTTGCACAGACCTGTACCCCTGGGGCAAATAATACATTATATGTTAATAAAAAATAAATAAAAAACATAATTAAATTTTAGTTGGAAATTGGCTGTCTTGCCCTCTACAATATAAGCTCTGTGAGATCAGCAACTGTGTTATCTATTTTTAGTAGTATATTCTTAGAAAACACTGTGCTGCTAACCCTCACTGTGCCTAGAGCAAAGTAGATGTTTAAAAAATATTTCTTCAATATACAAATGGATAGAATTATCTTGTGTCTGATCAATAAAACAGTTCCACATTTTTATTTCTGTTTTATATGATTAATAAGTATTTGACCAGTTGAAATAAAAATTAGACATTAATGCAATGTTTTGTTGGTTAACGTTTATGCTTACTACCAAGTATACCTAATAAATTTCAGTTTTATTCTTAAAAACCTTTTTAAAATGTTCTAATAGCAGTATCCATACTTTACATAGCCCCTTCAGTGATAAGTGAAAAATACCTTGAACTTATAAAAGTTTATTTGTAAGATATCTCTGAATTTATAATTTGGATCTCTTTCTATATGTACATTCCTTGAATGTTTATTATTTAATTTTTAAGATATTATATTCACGTGTCCATATACACATAATCAAAAACATTCTCATGTATACATGTAAATATTTGTATTATGCAAAGTGTATTTTCCCACATGTAGAGACTGGCCCATTTATCAGTGGGACTTAGGCAGATGTAAAATGCACATTTATAAATTGGCATGCCAGTTTGCAAACTGGTGTATTTATACATATGGGCTTAAATAAATGCATGTATAATAACCCACGTGACAAAAATCAACAGTTTGAAGTTTGCGGAAGATCATGATAACAGTTGGGTCCAAAATGTGTAACTTCCGTCTAGAGTATGGGGGCTGTTTGTATGGTTGTTAATGTTCTCAGGGAGACTGTTTGGGCATAATTTCTATGGGTCTGCCTTAGACCTCCTGACTCCATTTGGAACAGTGTTCTGAGTATGACCACTAGGATGTCAATAGATATAAATGGTTGCTTAGTTACTCTCACTCTCTTGAGAATAACAAACAAAGGTCACTGAAAGATCATATCCACGTATTTTATTTACAGAGAATCCCTAGTTGGAAGAGTTAAAGCATCTCAAGCTGGTGCAGCCACCAGAGACAATTGGGAAACTAGGACTGTGACTTTCTGTTATTGGTAACAAATAATATCAATATTTTTTCATGTTTTAATGTGCAATTGATGGTGTTTCAGAGACATGATAGCCACTGGCTGTGAAGATAAAAATGTTCGTGTCTATTATGTGGCCACCAGCTCTGATCAACCACTAAAAGTATTTAGTGGACATACTGCAAAAGTGTTCCATGTTAAATGGTCTCCTCTGAGTGAGGGAATTCTTTGTAGTGGTTCTGATGATGGGTATGTATTTTTGGATTCTAATTTTTTAGTCCTTAAACTCATAAGCTTATAATCTTCTAGAAGTGTATATACTAATATGATCCAGCTTATGGGTGGAAATGTTTTAAATATGTGCATATAACCAGGATGTATTAGCAGTTAACAATTACCTAATTGCATTTAACCATAGTAAATTAAATTTTGCCATGCTTATGCTATCATGCTCATGATTTCTATTTCCTTACTTATTTTGCTTATTATGGATGCTTATTTCTATCTTATTAGCCACATAGTTAACAGAAACAAAAATTTCGGAAGAATCATTTTGGAAAGCGAAAAAAGATCAGAAACGAACAAATCTCTGTAAAATATAGAGAAGAGTTTATTTTTAGTAGTGTCCTGATATTTAATATGGAAAACAGCTGTACTCTGTTTTCATTAAGAATAGAAAACAAGAAGATGATCATGTATTTTTAGCATGAAGAGAATTTATTTAGAAATGAGAGTGATTTAACATTTTTTCCTGGGTTTGTGAAAAAGTTACTGAAATTTTGTCTCTATTTTATATTCAAACAGGATAGATTTTTGCATAGTACAGTTTGGTCCCTATTTGAATATGAGATAAATTTAGGTAAGAAAAATCTTACTTTATGCAGATAGAAATCATAGTGTTTAGTAACCACAAGTTTAATATTGAATAATTAACTCTTTATCTTGAAATTTTGGCCTCCATCCAAATTTCCTAAGCAAATCAATTGTGGGAGTTCTGTGGGTTATCACTGGAAATGTTGCTTACAGTAAGATTGTCATGTCCCAGTGAATGAGTTGACTTAGAGATTGTTTGTCTCTTAACACAGACCTCAGTGTCTGAATTCTACTGCTACATTTAAAAAAAGTATAATTTTCAACCATTGTCTAAGAAATATTTGTGAGAAAGATAGCAATAAGATTATTTTACTTAATTATGGTGATGAAACTTGGAATTCTTCTGTAATTCTGGTTATTGGTCCCTTTATGTGGCTATATAGGTAATATGCTATCTAGCACCTTTAAATAGCGCTTATGTACAATGGGATGTATAAAGCTTTTTTACATTTAAAAAAATTTTTTTGTTATAATTATTTTTATTAACATATGATGTTATTATTTGCCCCAGGGGTACAGGTCTGTGTCTTTATGTTTGACTACAAAATATAATTATGATGTTAGTCTGATGTTTGCCTAATCTAAATTACGTCACAAAGCAAGGGCACCTGTTCTAATGAGTGTCCCTTATGATAAAGTATTTTGATTCACCTCACTTTAACATTAGCTTACTTATAAAAACATGGTATCAACCAAAACCAATTCAGTGCTAACATAAGGTTTTAGCACAAAATTAGGTTGTGATATGCCTAGACACAGGAACCAGGATAAGGGGAAAAAGAAGGAAGTCTTTATAGAAAGCTGAAATAAATATACCTTAAAGAAATGAAAAATACATATATGATGTGTCTCCTTTATAGTGTAATATAATCTTTGAAGTATTAATATTTTAGCATTGTCAGGTTGATATAAATCTGTAACTAAAAATTATTATGAATTATCCAAGCAGAGTTGGAATTTGGAGGTCTTTTTTTTTTTTTAAAGATTTTATTTATTTATTTATTTTTGACAGACAGATCACAGGTAGGCAGAGAGGCAGGCAGAGAGAGAGAAGGGAGGAAGCAGGCTCCCCACTGAGCAGAGAGCCCAGTGCAGGGCTTGATCCCAGGACCCCAGGATCATGACCTGAGCTGAAGGCAGAGGCTTTAACCCACTGAGCCGCCCAGGTGCCTATGGAATTTGGAGGTCTTAAATTGATTTTTGAGTTCAGATTTTTTTCAGTACCATTTGTATTTTGTACAGTTGGTAGATTCAAGTAATATTATGAATCCAGTTATATTTAAATTTTGTACTTGATTTTAGTGATTCCACACTGACTAACCAACTTTATTGACCAAAACATGAAGGAATAATTTACTCTTTGATAAGAGCATAAAGATGAATTGATTTGTCAAATAATACCTAATATACATGCTTTATTTTCATGATTTACAAATAATGTGAGTGTTGTTAAATTATTGTATCCATATTATTAGTAATATTTTTTGGCTTTATCTGTTCTGGATATTTCACTTTAAGAAAGAAATTTTTTAGGTCTATAAACTGAAATAGTAGATGTAGGATCAGTAGTAAAGGACTAGTTAAAGTAGGGAAAAAAATATAGCCTACTTATTTGTTTATTTTCATCTGCTATAAAGAAAAGAATTATAACATACCTTGAAACTTAAAATGCTTTTTAAATTTACTGAGAAGTAATTGTGCTCCTCTAAGAATGTGTTAATACTTTAGACAAATTATAACATGTATTATAATACATGATATTCTGTTTTCAGTTCTGTTCGAATCTGGGATTATACTCAAGATGCGTGCATAAACATCCTTAGAGGCCACACTGCGCCTGTGAGGGGTTTAATGTGGAATACTGAGATTCCGTATCTCCTCATATCTGGCAGCTGGGACTACACTATAAAAGTATGGGACACCCGAGAAGGAACCTGTTTGGATACTGTTTATGATCATGGTGCAGATGTATATGGTAAAGGGTTTTCATGCACTTTTAAATTTTGCTGTATTAATGAAGTTTATAATTTCTGAGAAATACAATGTTTTTAAAGAAATCTTCACTTTTTCATTTTAAAATAACATTTTTCTTATTAAAACTGTACTTGTTTATTATTGGAATATTAGAATACACAGAAGATAATACAAAATGTCATGAGGAGTTATTTGTGTTTCTGTGTGCACGCACACACATGCACACACATAATGGCTTGGATTTTTTTCCTTCCTTTACCATCACTCCTGAAGGAAGTTGTAAAACAGGAAATCAGTGATAAAGTAGGTATAACTTATCTAGCCATTCCTGTATCTCTACTCTTGGATATTTAGGACAATGTTTTGCTTTTTAATGTAATAGTAAATCTGTAAATACAATTAAGGTGGGTATAGAAATCAGAGTTCTTGTCTTTTGCATGTCATTTTCATTTATAGACCCAAACCTTGATGGGCCTAAGTGGTGAATTAAGAAGGCAAAAATCGTTCCTTAAGAAAGTCATCCCACTCTAGCCATTTGTGTCTGTATACTTTACCTCAGTGGCCTTTCAGTTGAGGCAGAGGGGCTGAGTGTGGGAGAGAATCCTGTTTCTGGTTGTTCTAAACTGGAAGTCCCAGTTCTCGTTCTTCTTATAATTAGAACTTCCGTCCATCTGCCATTTCCTCACAGATTACCATGACGCCATTGCTGTGACAGTTTGCTAGCTGCTAAACCAACTGAAATGGAATTTCAGCATTTTCATCCAGGACCATTAGCTAATCATTATTCAATTTTGTATTCATACTTATAGAATATGCTAAATAATATATTCTTGTATCATTTCAGCCAAAATAGAAATGCTATTTCAAAACACTTCTATATAACTTCAATTCTGTAGAAGTTTTATGAGGTACACATAGGTAAATAATATTTTTCAGTGTTTACTTTTTGTTAAAATGGGTTTCTTTTTCCCATCAGGTTTAACATGTCATCCCAGCCGCCCCTTCACTATGGCCTCTTGCTCCCGTGATTCTACAGTGAGACTCTGGTCATTAACACCTTTAATCACTCCTTTACTAATAAATATTCTGGCAGACAGATCTTGGGAAGAAATTATCGGGAACACCGGTATTGAAAATATGCATGTATTAGATTTTATTTTTAAATAATATCTTAAAAGCAATCCTTTCTTACTGAATTGTCTATTCTTTAGATCATGCTATAGAACAAGGCAGCCCTCCTCTACTGTGTGGTAAAGTGTCAAGAGGTATTAAACACGAAATAGAGAAACTAACTGGTAATCCTCGAGCAAAAAAACTAAGATGGTTTTCAGAATGTTTATCAGTGAGTATTATAGGAGTTAAATGTGAACATTTTCCCTGTAATCAGAATGAGTCATTACAACTATTGTCGTTATCACATATTTACACTTACCATCCCAACTCAGCAGTTCCTCTGAACGTAGTTGGTTCAGAGTAAGAAAGCAAATGGAAACCAGGAACAATAAATGAGATATATTACTATTTTGTTAATTTTCCAACTTAGATATATGCCTGCCTCATATTTTTAAAGATGCAAAATTCTGTGGGGTTTCAAATGCATTATTTTCTCTTTGGTTATTTTGTATCAACCTTTCAGCCTCCAGGTGGCAGTGACAATTTGTGGAATTTAGTGGCTGTGATCAGAGGACAGGACGATAGCCTGCTTCCTCAGAACTACTGTAAAGGAATAATGCATTTGAAACATCTGATTAAGTTTCGAATGGTAAGTACAGTATACAAGCATCATGTCCTCAAGCAGAAATTAGTTTTGCTTTTTCATTGTTGAAATACAAAAATTATTTTGAAAAATGTTTAGAATTAGAGTTAGTAGACTGAAGTAAGTGAACACTGAGGAGATAAATGTTGTAAAAATCAGTCATGAGAGTCTGAATTATTTGAGACCAGATTGAGGCAGCCATGGTTTATAGGTTGAATCTCATGAATTTCTTCAAAGGTCACTTGGTACTCCTTGAAATGCTTTACCCTACTACCAGATGACCGTGACATACGGACCACTCTGACCTTAGTCTCAGAGGCCCAATAGACTGTATTCTGGGATATGTTTTGTTAAAACTGGCCATATTAGAGCTCTCAATGAATTTCATTACAAAATTATCAGTTACCTTATGCGTGGAGTGATAACCAGTACCAACAAACCAGTGCAGGGACCAGAAAGTGGAAATGGGTCTTATGTTTGCAAGGAAATAGCATGGTTAACTTAACTATTAGAGCATGAGAACTGGGCCAGAGATGGGGATTTGAAGGTCAGATGAAACAGTTATTTTCATAAAGGAGGACTTTCTATAGTCACCACTCCACTGGAAGATGGCAGCTCTTACCTCTTGCCAGTACAGGAGCCAGTTAGAGTGAGCCTGTTTTTTTTAATTTTTATTCCAGACTTTTGTGTTTTTTTTTTTTCCCAGTGATTACATTATCACTCACGACCTTTTGGGCCCTGCATTTCTGTATAACCACAACACGTGGTGAGTTTTAAGGGACAGTGGGATTTAGCCTCTCCCTGCCCACACCAGACACATCCACTTTTTTATCCCACACCCACACCAAAATATTATAGTAGGAGAGGTATCATATTTTATAGAGAAAAAGCACTGATTTTTTAAAATATTTAACTTCCAGTGCTACATGTTTTTAAAATACGTGCCCGTGCAATGCTTTTATAATCATCTGTTATCACCAGCTCTTGATAATTAAATTTAGAAAATTTTATTTTCTTTTTAACCAGTCTGAAGCACAAGAATTGACAACAGTCAAGATGTCTAAATTTGGTGGTGGCATTGGGGTCCCCACTAAAGAGGAAAGGCTGAAGGAAGCTGCTGACATACATTTGAGATTAGGACAAATTCAGAGATACTGTGAACTGATGGTTGAACTTGGAGAGGTAAAGTGCTAAAATCAGTGAGTTTAACAGAGTATTCTAAGTATTGGTGAAATGCTAAATATTAAGCTTCTCTTTTTCCAGATCTGTTTGCTTCTCTGCCAGTTTGATATCAGGTGTATATCCGAGAGATACTTCTCCAAGTGAGATCCCCCAGATTAACATAAGCATTACATGGGAATGTGTTAGACAAGCATGTCCCACCCCAAACCTCCAGAATCAGAAACTCTGGGGATGTGGCCCAGTGATTTGTGCTTTTATGAGCCCTCCGCATTATTCACATGCATGCTGAAGGTTGAGAACCACTGCCGTAGGGTAGGATCTTTGATACCCCGTAAATATCCACATTGGCTGAGTTGCACACAGTGGACTTCCCTTGCCCCTTGCTAACACTGTTTGTCATAATGAGACCCTGCTTTGGCCAGAAGAGGGTTTTCATTGAGGATTACCTAGTGAAAGATGTTTCTAAGGCACATCTTGATTGTTTTGAGGACTGATTCAACGAAACACAGTTTTCAAAAATTAAGATGAATTTATCCTATTAAAATTCAAGATAGTGGTTCTTTTGAAAAGTAGGTGGCAAATAAAATAGAACAAAAGGGAGAAGGAGCTTCTGTTTCTTTTTTTTTTTTTTTTTATTTCTTTTCAGTGTTCCAGAATTCATTGTTTATGCACCACACCCAGTGCTCCATGCAACACGTGCCTTCCTTAATACCCACCATCAGGCTCACCCAACCTCCCACCCACCCTCCCATCCAAAACCCTCAGTGTGTTTCTCAGGGTCCACAGTCTCTCATGTTTTGTCTCCCCCTCCGATTTCCCCCAACTCCCTTCTCCTCTCCATCTCCCATGCCCTCCGTGTTATTCCTTATGCTTCACAAGTAAGTGAAACCATATGATAATTGACTCTCTCTGCTTGACTTATTTCACTCTGCATAATCTTCTCCAGTCCCGTCCATGTTGCTACAAAAGTTGGGTATTCATCCTTTCTGATGGAGGCATAATACTGCACGGTATATATGATCCATATCTTCCTTATCCATTCGTCCATTGAAAGGCATCTTGGTTCTTTCCACAGTTTTGTGATTGTGGCCATTGCTGCTATGAACATTGGGGTACATATGGCCCTTCTTTTCACTACACTGTCTTGTTAATTTTGGCCATTCTAACTGGTGTAAGGTGGTGTCTCAGTGTGGTTTTGATTTGAATCTCCCTGATGGCTAGTGATGATGAACATTTTTTCATGTGTCTGATAGCCATTTGTATGTCTTCGTTGGAGAAGTGTCTGTTCATGTCTTCCGCCCATTTTTTGACATGATTATCTGTTTTGTGTGTGTTGAGTTTGAGGAGTTCTTTATAGATCTTGGATATCAGCCCTTTGTTTGTGTCATTTGCAAATATCTTGATCCAGGTGCTGGTTACCTGAGTGTATTCAGTTTGTGGATTTTACGAAATTTTGTGAAATTTATGAAGGTATTCATTTTTCTGCATGGCCACTGTAGTTCAAGAACAATTCTCCCACCCTCCAAAAAAAAAGAGAATGGCACGGACTCATTTCATAGTTGATCATTTTGAAAAGTTCTAAGTTAGTTAATTTTATAATTACAAAGCATGCTATTAAGTGTACTAATAAATAATGTAAAGTAAAACAATAAGGCTACATTAAAATATATCAAAATTAAATTTAACTCACCTTTTTATTCCCCCATCCACACACTAGAGATAAATAATGAATTCACTGCTTGACCTAAGACAAAAAATGTCATTTAAAAACGCTATTGAAAAGGAAGGGGCACCTGGGTGGCTCAGTCAGTTAAGCAGTGACTCCTAATTTTTGGCTCAGGTCATGATCTCAGGGTCATGAGATCAATCCCCGGAGTCTGACTCTGTGCTGGGCGTGGAGCCTGCTTAAGATTCTCTCTCTCCCTCTTGCTCTTCTCACCCATCCCCATTGTACTATGTGTTCTCTCTCTCTTACTTTAAAGAAATGAAAAAAAAAAATTTAAGGTATTGTATACTATGAAGCATTTAGGAGCAATATAAAAATTTTACTTCTGGGCACTGGGGTGGCTCAGTTGTTAGACCTCTGCCTTTGGTTCAGTGTCATGATCTCAGGGTCCTAGGATTGAGCCCCGTGTCAGGCTCCCTGCTCTGCGGGAAGCCTGCTTCTCCCTCTCCCACTCCCCCTGCTTGTGTTCTGTCTCTCACTGTCTCACTGTTAAATAAATGAATAAAATCTTTAAAAAAAAATTTACTTCTGAAGAAATTGAGATTTGTCTTAAAAATTACGCTTTTAACAAAGCTGTATTAGAATATCTATCAAAAGTCAAGGACAAAATGAACAAATAAATTTTGACAGGATACTAATTCTTCATCTTTCTTAGTTTTATATATGGATATATATATATATATATATTTTAAGCTATATATAATTCAAATTTAATTAAAGATACTTTAATAAAACACCTACTTCTGGAGCTTAAGAATTAATCTTCTTAATGATCCAAAACACTGCGCTTATAATCCTTGAAAAATGGGAGTGTCCTTGTAATTGTTCATGGTCACCTGCTTCCATAGTTTCTGTTTCTCTGAGATTAATACTGTGAGGTTAGGAAAACATTCAGTCTTTTCACCAACAAGACATGTTTGTATAGAAAAATCTTGATGATTTCAAAGTTAATTTAACCTGTATTTTAACTTGTCTTCCATTTGCCTCTACTCCAACAAAGGCAAATTTTCCCTCAAAGCATATTTTAGATTACTTTTTTTAAAAAAAGGTAATATGACTCAAATAATGTAGTATTAATAATTACCTATTTTGTACACCCAAAACTTATATTATACTCTATGTTAACTAACTGAAATTTAAATAAAAACTTAAAAAAAGTTTCCTATTTAAAATTTAACCTATTATTTTCAGGCTAATTACCAATTTTCTAGCCTTGATTTAGTAGAATTCTACTGTTTAGGAGAATCTTAATTAAAATGAAACTTGGATTCATGTTTTGATATTTCAGAATACTTTCTCTTCATTTCCCTTCTAGACTTGAGTTCAGTGAAATCTATATTTCCATATAATTGTCCACTTGTCTTAACTGAACAATGATCATATTTAATAACATCTGATTTTTAAAATATGAAGATCATTATTATCAACTAAAAAGGAAGAAGTGACAAGAAATAAAATTTATGAATAAACAAGGAAAGAATAAAAATAGAAATAAATGTCTTATTTGTTAAGGAGAAGTGACACTAGTAAAAATTTCAGCATGTATTATTTTGAACATAGACTATAGACTACCATAAAACAAATTACTCTAGGGTTGTGTCAGAAGATGAGTTAGTATATTTTTCAAACTGTATAGTTTAGTTACTACTCTTTTCCTTCCCACACTCTGCCCCCTGCTCTCTAGGTTTGGGATTTCCCCTGCTAAATAATACGGTTTATATATCTTACTTTATTTTAAAATGTGGTAATATTTATACTCTGTGGAATGCATCAGGTAGAATACAAAAATATTCCTGGAAATCCAAACACTCTAAAAATACACTAAAAACTCATATTATAAATGTGAGTTCATTAAAAAAAAAAAAAAAAAGTCCATTAAAAGCACAATCAGGGTGCCTGGGGGGCTCTGTGAGTTAAGCCTCTGCCTTCCACTGAGGTCAGGATCCCAGAGTCCTGGGCTCCCTGCCCAGTGGGGGGTCCACTTCTTCCTCTGCCCCTCCCCCCAGCTCTCGGTCTCGCTTTCAAATAAATAAATACATAAAATTTAAAATAGACAACATGTTTTTCTTCTTTTTTTCTGTTCTAGTGGGACAAAGCCTTGTCCGTCGCCCCAGGGGTGTCTGTAAAATACTGGAAGAAGTTAATGCAGAGGTAAGCCGAGAGTCTGTGTCCAGATACATGTTTTGAAATATATTAAAGTGGAAGCAGTATATAAATATGATAGTAACATTTGAGAATTTTTACTGTTATGTTGTCTTTAAAAATAGCGGAATTTTATGTCTACTATACAGTGAATTAAATGAATCAGTTACAAGTCATTTTGGTGTTCTTGTATTTGACCTGACATCTGAAAAAAACAGTGGAAGGGAGATTTTCCCCTGTCAGTGGCGTAATTGACAGATCGTAAACATACTCACTGGTGAATATATTGCTATTGAAATAGAAGTGGTAAGAGTTTCTGACAGTTACCAGAAGTTCACAGAATACCTACTCTCCAAATAACTTTTAGAGAGTCATAACTCAGAACTTCTCTCTGGACACTAATCCCTGCCATGTTCCCTCCATGAATATAAAGGAGGTGCCGATGACAAAGAAGACTGTTGCGGAGATGTATTCGTCTCTCGTGGCTGCTACAACCCAGCACCATGAGCTGGTTGGCATAGAACAACAGGTGTTTAGGCTCTCACAGCCCTGGAGGCTAGAGGTCCATCGTCAGGTGGCCGGAAGGATTGGTTCCTCCTGAAGGCTCTGACACAGACTCAGCTCCATGCTTCTCCCCAGCTGCGGGCGTTACCGGCGACCCTTGGCACCTGCTGGCTCGTGGGTGCGTCACTCCGACACCAGCTTTGTGTTCTCAGGGCGTTATTCCCTGTGTGTCTGTCCCCCTTTCTTTGAGGATACCTGTCATATTTGATTTCCTCTCTCCCTTAAACCGGTACAGCTCCATCTTAACTGACTACATTGGCTAAGACCGTAATTCCAAATAAAGTTCCGTTTGTAGATATCATGGCGTCGTACTTCAGCATATCTTTTGGGCAGACACGTTTCAATGCACGACATAAGTCTGCTTTCTGTTCTATTCTATTCTATTCATTCAGTGAATGTTTATTTAGTTAGTCCTCACTTTGTGCCAATCACTGCTCTAAGCCCGTAGAGTACTGTCTAATGAGTAATTGCCTTCCTCCTGGCATTAAAAAGTTTTGATTTTTCTTTCATGGCAATGATTTAGAAGTAAATTCAACTGCAGTTCTCATGTACAAATAAAAATCTGTCAGAGGATAAGCATGAAATGCAAAAGGATTAACAAACTTACCTGTTATAGGAACGTAGACTGTGCGCTAGCACCTGCTTTCCCGATGGTGTGTTCATCAGCACGCTGGCTCCAGCCCTCGCACTGTAGGCTCCCCTTAAGAGAGGCTCCCCCTCCTCTTAAGGCTCCCCCTCCTCTTAAGGCTTCCCCCCTCTTAAGTCCTAAGAATCCCCAATAATTCTCAGTTCCTGCACCCTCACTGCATAATTATGAATGTTGTTCCCTCCCATGGAAACCTTAATAAAGCCAAGTTAGTGATAATTATTTCACAAAACCATTTTGTTTCAACCTCAGCAAAAACTATTTCATTTATTTTTTTTTGATTTTTTAAATTTATTTTCAGCATAACAGTATTCATTGTTTTTGCACCACGCCCAGTGCTCCATGCAATCTGTGCCCTCTCCAATACCCACCACCTGGTTCCCCCAACCTCCCACCCCCCGACCCTTCAAAACCCTCAGATTATTTGGGGAAACCAACATCTGATATTCTCTGCTCCTTAATACACATGTTGGCCAGAAAGTGGTCTCCCCACAACGCCCAAGTTTGTGTTGTATAAATCCAGCCGTTCAGAGAGATTGAGTGGCAGTATCTCAGCCCCGGTCCCTAGGAAGGGGATATTATTCCTCTAACAAGGAAATCAGGGTCAGGTGGTTAAAAACATAGTTGTTGGGGAGAATGCCAGAAACCCTATGAATGGAAGACTGTTAACAATAAGCTGGGTCAAAAAAAAAAAAAAAAAAAAAGTCTGCTACACCTATCCAAAAATTGGCAGTTGAAATGTAGTTTAATGCAAACGCCAGCATAAGTTAAATAGACTAGATTAGTTTTTAATGAAACTGTAAGAGTTGAATTAATTTGGTTGGTCATTGGAAAACTACCTGGGACTTAGGAAAAGAGAAAGACAGGATACAGAGAGACAGAGGCAGGCATAAGTAAACCCTTTATCATGTCCAAGATCAGGATCCTGTCTTCCCCTCATATATCAGGAGCATTATTTTTTCTTAACTACCTTGCTTGGGGTACTCATAATATTTTCTGTATTACCAATATTTATACTTTTATATTATCTTTTTTAATGATTTTAAACTACTTATATTTAGAAGCTCTCCATTCACGGTTGTGCTCAGTAAAACATTTAACATTCTACTGTCTGTGGTGAAGTAGACACCCCTGGATTTATTAATGCAGGTGAAAGCAGATATCCCAGCTCACATACCTGGTTTGCAACTTACTTTCAGAAAACATACTGCTCATTGTAATAGATAAGCTACATTCATTTAAAGACCAAAATGTTCAGTGCACTTAAAAATATGAAAATACGTAGTGTTCTAAGAGAAAGCAAGTATCTGTAGTATTTATTATTCCAGAAAACTTTTGTCTTCCATATCTGATTTGATTATAAAATTTGAGGCTTTTAGAAAAGTGATATGCAAAAGGGCTTTATGAAATCTACCACGTATTTTGAATATTTGGATGTTTAGATATTTCAGAAAATCTCTGTCGGAACTAGAACCTTGAAATTAGCATATTATAAAAGAAATTGTTCTTATTTTATTAGGAGAGCGGATCAGTTAATCCAGGAAGACAAGGATGATGTCATTCCTTACTGCATCGCCATTGGTGATGTGAAAAAATTAGTCGACTTTTTTATGTCAAGAGGTCAGCTTAAAGAAGCTCTGCTTGTTGCACAGGTACAGCTGCGTGACTGCACAGGCTCCATGCCCTGGTGGGTGGGCGCGTGGAAGGAAGGCTGTGTTGACCTTCCGCACTTGCCATCACGTGATCTGGTGTCGTGGATGGCTTGGCCTCCGCCCACCTCCCAGCTGTCTCCGCCCACATCGCTCTCACACGATCTGAGCACATCGAGTGTAGTTTAGACCTACCAGCATCCCTGATGTCTGAACTTCTGTGTACTGATGAATGTTAGATGTGCTTGAGCAGATTTTTCTAGTAACCATGTACTTGTTGATACAAAGGGAGTTCACGTTTTTTTTCCCCAAATTCTAAGGGTATCTTCAAACTGTATAAATTTAAAACATGATTTGAGTAAGTAGTTGATCCTTGAACAACACAGAGGTTAGGGGTACTGAACCCCCACCCAGTCATAAATCCACATATAACTGTTGACCCTCCCAAAACTTACCTGCTGATTAGCCTCCTGTTGACCAGAAGCTTACCGATAATGTAGTTGACTAACACATGTTTTGTATATGTATTGCATGCTGTATTATGATGATAAAGTTAACTAGAGGAAAGAAATGTTATTAAGATAATCATAAGGAAGAGAAAATACATTTACAGTGATGTACTGTATTTACTGAAAAAAAAAAATCTGCATGAAGTGGACCCATGCAGTTCAAACCCATGTTGTTCAAGGGTCAATTGTACTTTGATAAAAATAATATTCTGGAAAAAAAATTTTTGAAACTGGTCAGCTATCAAGAATTAGCTAAAAATTAATTAAAGATTTCATTAAATTCTAGGCTGCTTGTGAGGGAAACATGCAGACCTTACATGTTTCTACACCAAAAGGATCTTCATCTTCCGATGATATCTACAAGGAGGACTTTAATGAGTGAGCATTTCATCCCTTGTGTGGGGTCATATTTTCATGGTTGGCTTCCGTGTAGGAGGTTTTGAGAACCATGAAGTTCATATTTCTCTGCATACAGAAGGCTTGGCGGGGTCACCTCGTTTCTCACCACGGTCACACTCTGTCTCGGCTCCTCCTGCGGAGAATAGGGCAAGGTCAGGCACAGAGACACAGCCTATGACATTCTGTGTCCCTTCCAGAGAAGGAAAATGCATTCAGTAGAGAGATCCCAAATAAAGCGCCTAAGTACTTAAATACTTAAAAACTGATCAGACCTGTTTAGGGAAGGAGGGGCTATGAAAATACATGTGTGCTGTTTATTAATGTTTCACTGTAAAGTCAGTGTGGATAACTGTTCATTGTTCATAATCCCAAGACCCCAGAGTTAGTGTTGGGAATAAAACTTATGCTCCTTTTAAAGAAGAAATCCAGCTATATATACTTTTAAAAGAATTGGAGATTAGAATTCCTCAGCCTTTTGACCTTTGTAAAATCTAATAATCTACTTTCCCGTGCCACATCTATTGGCTCCTTTCATTGCTCTAGATAATTGGATATTTAAACTTTAAGGACGTTTATCAAGTAAAAAAAAAGTTATAAAATGTTAAACAAATAGTGTTGTGACCAGCGTACTCCTTCCTGGTTCTCTGCTGCTGTTCTGTGCCATTACTAAGCTCAAACATACACCGCCTGTACTTGGTGTCACCACTAAATTTTGAAAGTTTCCATTTACTTACTTGACTGTCCCTATAGCTGAGTTATAAATGATTCAGTGTAGGATGGTGAATTCTGAAAGTTAAGCTTTTCGTCTGACATTTGGCAGGGTGGTTTGTCTGCCCCGCCTGCTTTCCTGATTTTTTTTTTTTTTTTACCAAAAATCAGACTTTATACTCTAATCAAAGATATCAAATTAAATCCGATTTGATCCTTTAATCAGCTTGTTGTTAAAGGGCGTTAGTCCATTCTGTGGTGGAATCCTTGCGTTTATGGAGAATATATGCTTTTATCTCTTCTAGACTCCTGCACAAAGTCAGTGAAGAACTAGCGGAGTGGTATTTTCGGGACGGGCGGGCCGTGCTAGCCGCCTGCTGCCAGCTAGCTGTAGATAACACCGAGGTACATTTTTCACTGTGCTGTCTGTGGATGAGACGCTCTTAAGACGTGGCATGGTGTTGGAGTGGAAAAAATGCAGCACCTTCTGTGTGAGATCTGACTGTGTGTGCTTTCCAAGCCTGAGCTCCCAGGCCTTATAAGCACACATGAACTCTAGAGACTATGTGATCTTTTTTTTTTCCCCAATTAATTTATTTTTATCACAAGACACATGTTTGTAACCACCTTACTTTAAGTGTTTCATCTTATGTGAGGAGCAGTAGTGTCGTAAATGGAAGAATCTGGACTGGGACTCAGCATACCTGACCTTGGAAAGCACTTACTTTTAAGTATTCTTTGGTATATTCTGTTTTTAAAGTATTTTCTGTTTGACCCACTAATCTAATAAGAAGAATGTGAAGTAAAGATGGGTTCTATTTTGCGTATATCCTTAGGTATAGTGTATTTAAGGGGTAATTGATAATCATTGCACACTACTGAAAAAACTTTTAAGAATTCACATTGTTTTGTGATAGATTGAAAGACATGTGGAGGATATGGCAGAAAGACAGTTATTAATTACAAAAATAATACTAAGGGTTTTTTTTTAAGATTTTATTTATTTGAGAATGAGAGAGAGCATGAGAGGGGAGAAGGTCAGAGGGAGAAGCAGACTGCCCGTGGAGCTGGGAGCCCGATACAGGGCTTGATCCTAGGACTCCAGGATCGTGACCTGAGCCGAAGGCAGTTGCTTAACCAACTTAGACACCCAGGCGCCCAATACTGAGGGTTTTAAACTTAAATTCTGACCTTATAAAAATTTCCTCTCTGACCCTTTTTCGTGGGCTTTTCCACCTGCAAATTGCATTTGTACTTACATAAGAACTTCATAGGTATATGACATTCAATCTTTTGTAAGAATGATTGATTATAGGTTAATACTGCTTTATCTACTTTATGAGCTTGGCGGGGAATGATGAGCCAATGCCACGTCTATGAAACTGAAGCAATTATTTTGTCATTGAGCAAGCATGCTATGGCGTACCTGATCCGTGGGAATGAGCTGGAACTGGCCGTGTGTGTGGGCACCGCGCTGGGGGAGGCCGCGGCCCCTGGCACCCACTACGCCCTGGAGTTGTTGGCAAGAAAATGCATGATGATTTCCACATGGTAAGAATTTCCAAATTCAAAGAAAGATTCTACAGTGATGGGATACGTTTTTTAAATACTGTAAGTTAGTTGCATTTGGTGTGTATTGGGAGAGCACAACATCTCCTTTTTCTAAATTACTAGCAGAGACTATGGGAGGAAACCGGGCCATGACAGCGAAGTGACAGTGGGAACTACCCTCGTTATAGAAGGAAATCTTCCATGACCCATTCTGACTCGGGGCAGGTGCACCTCCACGATCTTTCCAGCACACAAAACATCGTGAGAACAAATGTGCCCTTCTTAAGATAATCAGGACCACACATTCCCACATTTTAAATTCTGCATATCTACACTCATTCGTGTCAGATCTTGTGTCTTAGTTTAAGGTGTGGAAAATAAAGTCACTTTTCTAATGGAGAGTAACAGTGTGGTTTAGCCGGAGACTCGGAACAGGCTGTCCCCCCAGACGTGGGCAGCGTGCCAAGACATCTACTCTGGAAGGGCCCTGTCCCAGCAGTCCTCGCTCCTGTCCGCAGCGCCCTGATCTCAGGGCGGGCGGTCCTTCCTCATCGAGCCGCCTCAGGAAACACACGATGCTGACAGTCAGAAGACGGTTGTTGAGTAAAGGCAACTGTAGACTTTTATCTTCTCTTTCCGCAAAGTACATAGAACCCCAAGGAGTTTCCGAATAAACTTGCTTCTCAGGTCTTGCACCTCTTCCCGCCGTACGCCCCGTGCACACACGTGCCACTCTTATGGCGGAGCTGGACAGACCCCACTGCTGGCATCTACAGAGGACAGAAATAGTAATCATAAGGATGGCCGGCTGACCCTTCTGTGCTGCTTACTGTGTGCCAATCACCGTTTGAAGCACTTTACGTGGAATGACCCACTAGATACTTTGCAGTCAATACTGATTCGCCGCAGGTCTCCTTCACCACTAAAGCAAGATTCAAGGTTACATAAACTGGCTGCAAAGTTTGCACTTAGCTACTGTCTTAGTTCAGACTGCCGCAACAAAGTGTCACGGGCTGGGTGGCTTATAAACAGCAGAAACTTATTTCTCACAGTTCTGGAGGCTGCAAAGCCTAAAATCAAGATGCTGACAGATCGGGTGTCTGATGAGAGCTGGCTTCCTGGGTCATCATTGGCCATCTTCTTGCTGTGCTCACTTGTGGAAGGGGCCAGCTCGTTTATAAGGGCACTAATCCCATTCATGAGGGCTCGGCTCCCAAGACCTAATCACCTCCCCAAGACCCCACTTCTAAATACCATTCTATTGGGGATTAGGTTCAGCACAGGAATTCAGGGGGCAACACAAGCATCCAGGCTGTGGCAGCTGTCACGCTGTACCACGTCCTTAATCTGTGACTAAATCAGCAGAAGGGCAGCACTTCCCATTTTCCTCTTCTTTCTGGATCTGGGGGCTTCATAGTGAATCAGGAATCTCAGGGATTTTATAATTTTTACCATATCTTAACACGTATAAGAGCTCCCTCCCCCACCATCGGCCTTAAACTTCCCACCATCCTTTGCGAGTGCCCGGTTTTCCCTGTGGATAGCAGTCAGTTACATACTTATTGCGACTTGCCTTGGACCCATCCCAAAGCATGAGGTTTAACTCAGGCTATTTAGTCACAAAGGTGACTGACTCCAGGCTAAAAGTCATCATCTAATCTCAATAAAATGTGATTAGTTGTTTTTTTTTTTAGATGAGGGTAAAAATAGCCAAAAAAAAAAAAAAAAAAAAGCAATTAAATTTAAGTGAGGTCTAAACAAATCTTTCAACTGACTATATATCTTAGTTGCTTTTAATACAAAACAAACTTCCATTTCCTTATAACTGCCCCAAGAAGTTTCCTTTATATATCCATAGAATAGACACATGCACAAGAAACTAGATTAAAGTTCAAATTCTGAAATATGTGGCACCAATCAGGTTTGTAGGGGGAACCTGTAATCCTTGTGGTATTCATAGAGCCCCAGAAATTTAAGTAAAAATGGATAGCTGCGTAATTTCAAGAGAATGTTCATAATTTTGTAAACCAAGTGTACTTTGCCTATTTTGCATTTACTGGTAAAAGTTTCCTTCTTCCTGGTTCTCGTTGCATATTATCCATGGTATTCATATTTAAAATCATTTTCTTTCTAGCTTTCCATCTGTTGGATACAGGTATTATCTTGTTTTATAAAAACACTTAATTAAAAAACTCATATTTTATTTTAGAATATTAAATTCTAAAATATTAAAGTTTTAGAATATGAACTCTGTATTAAGAAATGATCATTACCTGTTCTTGCTTCATTGTTTCACAGAATACTAGTTCTTTCATAGAATTTATAACATGTAAAACCTAGCTACAAAGTAACAAGAACAGTTCCTTTAGCCCAGATACAAAAATCACTCCTGATTTTATACTTAAAACTTGTGTAATAAACAAACTGTGACTTTCTATAGTACTAAATGATAGTTAATAACTAAGCAAGTGAAAAACGCCTGTTCTGGTAGCAAAATTTCAGATTTTAGGTTATTAGGTAGGTCTGTATTATTACAAATATATACGTTTTCCCCAATTCGTGTCCTGAATTTTCAATAAATGGTAAATTACACTAAAGAGTGAATAAAATTAACTAGCATTGCTGTAAATTTCAGTGTATGACTATATAATTCTACTGTGAGAAAGTCAGACTTAAATGTTCATAAAAGTTTGAATAGAAGGTTAGCGCAGCTATTTTTTTTGTTTTTTAGATTTTTATTTATTTATTTGACAGACAGAGATCACAAGTAGGCAGAAAAGCAGGCAGAGAGAGAGGAGGAAGCAGGCTCCCTGCTGAGCAGAGAGCCTGATGTGGGGCTCGATCCCAGGACCCTGGGATCATGACCTGAGCCAAAGGCAGAGGCTTTAACCCACTGAGCCATCCAGGTGCCCCTAGCACAGCTATTTTATGCCCTATAAAAGCAAATGGTAATTTCCCTATTCTCATGGACATAATTGAATACTGCTACTAAATGTTGGTATCAGAAAACAGAGTCATTGAAACCTTTTAGCAAGAACAGATGAATTACCCTAATTTGAGACTTGTAAAAATACCCAAAGGGTTACCTGCTCTGTGATGGTAGAATATTTGACACACACAAGTTATCTATTCCTGTTCCAAGCTCACAGTATTCTCAAACATCTCTTAATGTTTTAAAAATGATTGATTCATATAAATGACCAGTGTACATTTGACTGAAGGCTTCACAAAGAAGGTGAAGGAGGATTTTACTCTCAGAAGTCTGACCTTCAGAAATTCACATTTGAAATATTGTCTATTCTCAGGTTATGCTGAATGTGTCAAATATCAGTTTCTTGAAAATGGAATGATAACATCTCAAACCATTAAAAAGTAGTGTTTTCTCAGTTATGATGTATGCAACCAAAAACTCTTTACCTAGTGATTTTTAAGAAGATATACAAAATATTTTTAATGTAAAGCTGTTAAGTCCATACAACACTTTAAAGTACCTTATTTTTTTTTTTAAAGATTTTATTTATTTATTTGACAGAGAGAGATCACAAGCAGGCAGAGAGGCAGGTAGAGAGAGAGGAGGAAACAGGCTCCCTGCTGAGCAGAGAGCCCGATGCGGGGCTCGATCCCAGGACCCTGAGATCATGACCTGAGCCGAAGGCAGCGGCTTAACCCACTGAGCCACCCAGGCGCCCCAAAAGTACCTTATTTTTTTAAGTGATTTATTCCATTTATTGAATCTTTAAAAAGCAAATCCAAAAATTGCATTTCTATCTTTGATTTCCACCTAAAGTTTAGGAGAGTTGCGGAATACCCCAAATTCTAAACTTAAAACATCTAGGTGTTCTGTTGGTTTTAAGGAGCTGTGGTTGACTAGCATGACCAAAGCTGATGAGAATTAGCTTTGACAAAATTTGCTGTGTAATTCACTCCAAAGAACATATCTAATTCTACTTAGCTTGGTTAGAGAATTGTCCTGTAATAACAAAGTTAATTATGAATATATAAAGATTCACTTAGATTAAAAAAAAACTACAGAAATTTCATAATCCATTTATCCTTCATGCTCTTCAGTTTCTGTCATCCACATTTAGAAGACTTCCATAATTAGGTAGGAAATTGGTGCTGTTTATATAAGTAGAAAATCGAGGGAGGCGGTAGAATTTTCTTCCTTGGAAATAGTTCTAAATGTTATTTTTAGATTTTTTTTTCCTCAGTTGAAGTTTCCCCTTTTGTTGCGTGTGTAGGAATCTGGCGGCCGATCTGCTGATGATGACTCCTGACAATGAGCTGCAGCTGGTCAAACTCTGTGCCTTCTACCCAGGCTGCACTGAAGAGCTGAACGATCTTCGTGAGAAGGTAAGCTCAGGACAGTCCATTCCCCAGTCGGAACACAGTGCTGTGATTTAACTAACTGTAGGTTCGGGCACATACAGATTCAGGCAGGGAAACAAACATATCTCTTTCCAACCCTTTTATAAATAGAATAAAAATGGTAACGGTACATGACATTTCTTAAGCTTCTACTGTATGCTTGGGACAGTTGTAGATTTTCGCATGAATATGTGTTTTACTCAATTCTCATGATGCCCTGAAAAGCCGGGAATATTGTTCCTATTCCACAAAGAAAGAGAGTTCAGAGAAGGGAAGGAACTGCCCTCAGTGGAAGGCGGAGGGTGAATGTCAGGTTCAGCCTGCCTGCCTCCACGTCCCAAGGCCTTCCCACTCTGCCGCTCTGCATTGTAAGGAACATGCAAGCTGACTTTTTAAAAATATGCAACTTAGGATCCCTAAAAGAGTTAATGAAGTATGATGAAATTCCCATGCATTACTCTAAAGTGGTTTAAAGAATTATTCCTTTATAGAATATAGGAACTTATGTGCCAAGATTTTATATAAAAACAGCCAAAATATTCCATAATCTGAAGATGGCTTATATAAAGTGCAGCACATTTTTGTAGTTCAGTGCTTTTAATCCATTAAAAAGGTCATGAAGTTCTGTTTTTATTGGCGCTTGTAGATGGCTGTAAAGCAATCATGAAAAGGCAGAATATGAAATAGGCACATGCCGTGTGATTTTCGTTTTGAAAACAACTGTGTACGTACTTATGTTATTTATAGCATATTCAAGGAGATATGTACAGTTCTTTTAAGAAAAATGTAAGATAGAATAAAACATTTTCTTATCTTTAACTCTGAAAATAACCATGTTTTGTTACACTTATATGACCCTTGATTTGTGCCCAGTGGCTGAGTGGCCTTATTCATTCAACAATGGGATACTTACTAAGTATTGTGATAGTACAAATAGACCAGGTGTGTGTGTGTGTGTGTGTGTGTGTGTGAGCTCCAGTGTGTGAGCAGATGTGTGGAAGTGTGTGTGAATGTGTGATACCAGGAAAGATACCTGTGAAAGGATAAGTATGCACAGTAATCAGTGGGTTGTGAGATTTGGGGTGATTTAACTTCTTTATACACTTTGTATTTTGTGAATTATTTTTTTAAATGAGCTGCGCTTGTTTTTACAAATATGACAAATAAAAGCTATTTCCATGTTGAAATTAAAATAAGGAAGTAGGAACTTTACATTTGTTGCATAGTGCCTTTTTTTTTTAATGTTTTATTGATTGATATGAGAAAGAGAGAGAGCAGGAGCAGGAGGAAGGGGAGGCAAAGGGCTAGGGAGAGGGAGAAGCAGAGTCCCCAGTGACTGCAGCACCCTGTGCCAGGCTCAGTCCCAGGACCCTGAGATCAGGACCTGCCGTGTAACACACTGGGCCATGCAGACACCCTGCCTAGTGCTTTAAGATTCTGAGGTGAGAACAGCAGGTGCTAATATTGAGGCTTAGAGTGGAAAAATATTTGTCTGTGTTTACACACTGGTAATGACATGGGCAAGATGACATTCACACAGTCTTTTCATCACACGTTCTAAAAAGATATCAGACTTTCTGGTCAGACTTCATTAATAACTCTTTAGAAAGACTAGTCAGTTTGTGTACATGTGTTACTGCCTCTGGACAGTTTCACAAGTAATGCTAAAAATTGTGTTTTCAAATATTTTGTTGATTTATATAACTTAGAATTTTAAGATGGGACAGAAATTACAGGAATGATCATCTTACTTATATTTTATTTGAGAATAAAATTTCAATAGAAATCATTTTTCCATTTCCTTTACTCTTGGAGCATGTAACAAAGTGAAGAAACTTTATTTTATTTAGCCAGGCATAGTACCTAGCACATAGTAGTTGCTCAGTAAAGACTGGCGTTTAGTAAATGAAGATGGCGAAACAATGTGGAAATGTTATATGTATGAAAGCCCCTTTAATAGAGTTTGTTGTAATTGTTTAAGAGAGATTAAGGAATCTAAAATGTTCAGTTTACCAAATTTTTATTTATTTTTTATGTTTTCATTTAACTTTGGGTGGTTAACTTGCAGTGGGTTGTGTCAGGTGTACAATATAGTGACTCACCACTTCACACATCACCCGGGGCTCCTCACAGCAAGGGCGCTCCCCAGTCCCCATCACCTCCTTCACCCATCTCCCCACCCACTTTAAGTCACAGAAGTTATGAAGCTCTTGAATAAGAGCGTTAATAAATAGGTCGAATAAACCATCTTAGTCACTTGAGGGGACATCAGGGGAAGTATGAAGGGATGAGTGTGAGGAATCTCAAAGGTGAGCGGACCCATGACCTACTGTGATTGAACTGAGGCCTGGGGGGTCACACAGGAAAGCCCTCTGCCCCGGGAGCATCATCTCCGGGGTCGCCGAAGACCAGCGAGACAAAGCCTTCAACAATTTATAGGTGTTGCTTAGAAACTGACCAGCAGACCTTTAACACTTCCTCTTCAAACGTCATGAACACATCAGATTTTGATATAAAAGATAACTTTCAATTCCTGCCTACATTCTGGAAGCGGAAGAGCTTACCTAGGAAAGAGCAGGCTCTCTGTTTCAACAGGAAAAAAAATTATTTGAAAAAAAAAAAAAAACCAGGAGTATTGCTTCGCATTTTACAGTAATGAAATCTCATAGGCTCAAAATCTCCATTTTGTGGCATTTCAGAATGTCAGAGCTAAAAACTGTGAGAGCTGGTATGTGTTTTGCCTTCCTGCTTGAAATGACGTGGCTTTGTCTCAAAGGCCAAGTGAACTTAAACTCTAGAGTGTAGAGGTTGTGGAAGAGTGTACTGTTGACATTTTCTACATTTGATGTAGTTTCTGGCATTGGTCAGTGTATCTTGAAATAGCAAATCTCAGCTGTTTTTTCCCTGAATTACATGCATGGATACTAATTCCAACTATCACAGTTTCCTTCCACCTCTTTTATTAGGTGTTTATGTGATGGAAAGCTATTAACTCATTAGCTAATACCCTGTTTATTGTATTTAGATCCTAAAGGTGTTTTCCTAAATGTATGCTCTTAATACAAATTATTTCATTTACATCTATTTTGAACGACTTTAATAAGAAAAGCATACTAGACATATTGGAAATGTTTATTAGTTATACTGCTATTTTTATCCCTATAAATTTTAGTAACATCATCAAACCAATTACTTTCAGTGCAAGCTACCCACGGTAGAGGAATGTATGCAGTTAGCGGAGACAGCCCATGCAGATGGTAATATATTTGAAACTGTGAAATACTACTTGTTAAGTCAGGAACCTGAAAAAGCCCTTCCTATTGGTATTGATTTCATTAAAGGTAAGTTTCTAGTTGTTAGTATAATCTAAAATCTACCCAGTTACTTGATCTTTTCATTAATATTGATAAGCAACCTTAAAATCAAGCACTGGCCATCCTAAATTTAAAAAGTAAAGAGATTGGTGATTGTATAGTATGGGGACTTAAAAGACAGTAAATATGGAAATACCTGTGATCCAGAAAATAAGGGGGTAGACGGGATTGACCAGAAGAGAATTAATTACATAAGTTAAAAAATTGGATGAACACGTTTAAAACTATTACTTAGAGAATCTCGTATTTGGTTTTATTTTGCCAGAACACATCACTAGTTCAAATTGGACATTGGATACCATTTATCCTGTTCTTGACCTGCTGAGTTATATTCGTACTGAAAAATTAGTCTTGCATACGTGTACTAAGTGAGTACTTTTTCTCCAAAATATATAACTGAACCTATGTAATGTTTTAAAATGGTTATATTGTTTTTAGTGTTCAGATCACGAAAAAAGATCATCTTGGACCAGTAGATGCCCTTGTAGAAAAAATTACATTTTTATTTGCTCTTCTTTTTTTTTTTTTTAAATTTTAAGATATATATATTTATTTTAGAGGGAGGGGGGAGGAAGGGGAGAGGAAGAGGGAGAGAAAGAATCTCAAGCAGACTCTGGGCTGAGCTCAGAGCCTACCCTGGGGCTCAGTCTCATGACCCTGAGAGCATGACCTGAGCTGAAACCAAGAGTTGGACTCTTAACCTACTGAACTACCCAGGCATGCCTTTATTTGCTATTCTTAAGAAAACATAAAGAGATCAATTTGAAACAAATAATCTTAGTCGTCCTATTTACTAATACCTAGAGTGTGTATGTTTATATATGTATGTGTACACATGTGCACACACGTACACACACACACATACACACACCCCTAACTGGCTCAGATAGGGCTAATTCAGAGCTGTGGGGTAGTCTTAGTCCTCAAGTCCTCAAGAAGCTAGTGGTCATTATCTATTAAATAGCAACTGTGTGCAGATCATACTAGGCTGGGAGAAAAGTGAAGGTGCTAGAAAGTGAAAAACAGACACCATCCCTGCATTCATATGTCATTTAAGGACACTGTTGTCCATAGATTGAAGGTCCCCAGAGACTGTGTCGTTTATAATGGAGGCTTTGGGCTATTTTTGCTTTAATGGCATGTGTGGAAATGATGACGCCACAGCCTGGGAAACTTTGACAAGTTTCCCTAGCCAGAAGTGGAGTGGATATGCTCTGTCCTTTCCCAGAGTCTACAGAGTATGCCAGGAATTCCTAAATTGAGCCTAATGAGTTATTTAGAGAAAAATGGACATGAAGAAACAGACAAGGAATAGAGAAAAGCAAGAAGACAAGAGTTAAACCTTATTTGTGGTATAGCGTAAGTGTGTGAATAGGAGTTAACTTAAGAATAAAACATCTTCAAGTCTGGAAAATTTTCTAAACATATTTTGCTGTGTCACTCATCAAAATACAGAGATGCAAGTACAGTGACTACATATGTGAGTAATGTTCTAGATCTCAAGTTATGGAATTAAAGATATATATCTGTATGTATATATGTATTCTCTTCTAGAGCTCGAAATGAATTGCTTATATTGTGTGGTTATATTGGGGCACTATTGGCTATCAGAAGACAGTACCAAAGCATCGTTCCAGCACTTTATGAATACACGAGGTAAAACCGATTTCGCTTCTGTTACAAACGTAGGGAAATTCCTTTCACTGAGATAGTCTCTAAGTACATCCTAGAAGGCCTCCTGTACATATCATATGTGTCCACTGGTTCATTAGCATGCACTTTATAATAAAGCAGTGATAAAAATCTGTGAATTAGAAGTGAATTAGGATGTAAATGATAGAAATCCTAATTCTAGCTTAAACACATGGGGTTTCTTGGTCTTGTGTCAAGACCCTTGGGATCGGCTTCCCAGGGCTGTTAGAGCTATGCATGAAGTCCATCCAGGACTGAATTCTTCCCTTGTTTTGACGCTGACCTCCTCAGCTCCCCTCCACTTGCTTGAGGAACCCACCACGACAGGTCTGCATTCTAACCAGGAAGTAGAGAAGAGTGGCAAGGCAGGGACCCTAAAGCATGAGGCCATCGACTCGGGAAGGAGAGGCTCACTTGGGTTATATGCCTCCCTTTGGTGAGAACCGTGGAACCCTGTTTTTAGAAGAAACAGAGAAACTGGGTATTTCAGCTTTCCGATCTCTAGAGTAAGAAAAAGCAAAGAGGATTTGTGAACAGTGGGTGACTCACTACTTTAGAGTTGAGCCTAGCAGTCCTGCCAAACTCCTCTATTTTCTACCGGCTTGCTGAACTTCAGCCATTGTGCTTAAAACTTGTTATCATCAGAAAGAAAATCCGTGGCGCCTTTGCAAAACATCCCTTCCCAGTTGACTAGTTTGCTCCACAGCAGAGTAGCTAACTCCAAAAAATGCTGAGTATGTGTGGGTAAAAGCAGTTTTTCTGAGTGCCCCTCACACGGGGCCGACTTTCCGAGAGAGCTTCCTCTTCCCTCCTTTCCCTCTCCGTCTCCACTAAGGCCTCGTGTGGGACTCAGGCCGCCACCTGGAGCAGACTGAGGGACAGTGGGGAGTGACCCTGCGGGGAAACTCGGGGAAAAACCTATTTCTGTGCAGGTGGCAGACCCAAATTTGAAAGCAGTTTCTAACAATATTTAAATACCTGATGGGAGCAATAGGATGTACCGCATGGAATGAAAATATTTGGTGAAATGTGTTCCATTTACATGTGACTTGGGTAATGAAAGTAGAGACAGGGGAAATGGTCCCTTGAAATAGAATCAGAAATAAAAGGAGGCTTTTACACGTGAGGCAGGAGAGACTCAGGAGAATGCATCTAAGCCTGCTAGTGTAAAACGAGAAAGGAAGAAGGCCCTCATGGGAAGGAACTTCTTACTTCGCTGGCTAAGTGTCTGTCCTCTTGTCTCAGCCCTTGCCCCCGCCCCTCATACTGAGCCTCCAGGGCGTTTCTCTCTGGCCCTCTGCTCCCTCCCTTCCTCTGCTTCCCGGCTTGCTCTCCAGGTCTCCCTCACTCTGTTCTCCCCTCAGTTTTCTCTCCATGGAACCCTCAACATTTCTGTGGCCGCACCCATCGCCTCCGCGGTGGTTTTCACACTCAGGCATCGCTCCCGTGGCCGGCCAGAGTCTGGCCTCAGCTCCATGGGCTCAACATGAAAACCTCGTCCTCCTCAAATCTGCTGCTTCTCCTGTGTGCTCTCTTTCTTTTGATTGTGTCATTCTATTTCTGTCACCCAGAATCACATGATCAGGGTCCTGATTAAGTGTTCTTCTGACTGCCATAGTTAGGGTCTGCCCTAACTCCCTCCTGCCTCAGCCCTGCGTCTGGTCACCTGATCTCTGCATCTCTGTTCTTCTGCTCCATCCCCTTCCTGCTGTGGCATCTGCCTCCTGGCAGCTCCCAGCAGCACCACCCTTCCTCGGTACCCTCCGGACCCCCCACTGTCCATCACAGAGCTTCCAGATCCTTAGTCTTACATTAAAGGTCTGCAAAAACAGGGCTCTGACCACGCCTCCCCTGCAGCCTTCTCTGTCCTCCACTCTGGCCAAACTGAATTACTCGTGGCCCCCCCGTACCTGTGGAAGATTTCCCTCTCTCAGCGTCCCTCCACTGCTTACCTTGGTTTTTCTCCTCATTCTCTGGCACTGCTTTGTTTATAGCAGATTACCCAAATGACTGCACAGATGAAGTCCTATCAAGTGCAGATTTGTAGACAGGGAAGCCAGAGTGTTTAAGGAATTCATTTTGGATCTAGCCACATTGTCAGTAAAAATTTTAAGTTTAGTCATTTGGGGTTAAAGAACATGAAAAGCTACTAGTCAATTTGAGATAATATTTCTACAGTGTTAGACATGCGTGTGTATGGGGGGAGAGTTTTACCTTTTTCCTCACCAAGTCTTATCATGTCCCAGCAGAATGATTATAATTAGCCGGAATAACCAGAAAATGCACGTTACAGAATGGCTTCCTTAACCCTTACTTCATCTCTAAGGTCTTGTGTTCTGTTTCTATCTCTCAAACAGCTTTTACTTTTAAATTTCAGCTAACTGGTTCCTTGGAAAACCCACTGAGTTCGTAACTTATTAAAGAAACTAGGACTAGTCATTATTTATCTAAGGCTTCCTAATTAATACTAATCATATCTCTTTTCCAGTTTTCTCTACAGAGATGTGATGGATCCCTGATGTCACTGTTTTGCGGCTTTTTCTCACACACATCTGTCTTTAAAGAATTGCAGTCCTCATGTCCATTCCTTTCCACCAAGTTGACATTCTTCTCTTGCTGTTCTCCCACTTGCTTTCTTACTCCCCTAATATTCACTTTTAATTCAGAGGACAGCAGCCTTGCGGGACCGGTACACGACATTGCTTGGCTCGTTTCTCCTTTCTCCACAGTTCACTTGTTCCTTCCTTTGTTTACCCACTTTTTGCAAGTTTTACATTTTATTTTTCAAGTTTGTATTTAAATCTCGTTAACCTTCAGTGTAATATTAGTTTCAGGCGTACTGTGTAATGATTCAGCACTTCTGTACGTCACCCCGTGCTCCTCACGACCAGTGTCCCCCTTCCTCCCTGCCCCCCCATTTCGCCCATCCCCCCAAAGCCTCCCTTGTGGTTCATTCATTCATCTGCTCACTCAGACCGTCATCCAACTGGCACTTACCGAACATCTTTGACTTCAGGGCACTTAAACGCGCACACGAGCTCACACACGCACACCTTCGTGTATACACACGTATTTTTGAGCAGTTGTTAAATATGAAATTGCAGTTATTTAAAGCACATTTGCTTTTTTGATATCTTAGTCTTGGGTGCCAGATGTTAATTTCTGTTTCACATGTTTCAGTCAGCTGTTAAAGTGTCGGGCGGTGTCAGTGCCTTTAAAAATTGAGCACCTTTCGGAGGAGTTGGATGCGTGGAGAGCTTGCACACAGTCCATCAGCCGGTGAGTGGAGATGATGGAAAAATTGGAATGCGGAGGTATTACTTCATATTATAGACAAACTTGGTGAAAATGTGGATTGACTATTAATTTTAGCCAAATAATGCATCTTGGTTTGTTCAGCATATATTTGGTGATAGTTTACAATCCTGTTCTTTTCTGTCTTGTCAAAGCCCTTCACTTTACTACAAATCAAGTCTAAGTTGCCATCATTTCTAAAGGGGGACCAAATAATCCTTACAGACTGTTTCTGATTTAATCCTTAATAATTTTACAAAAATGAAAATGTAATATCTGTTGAAAATATAGATCATCGGAAGAGTCTGCCTATACACCCCCTACTGATTCACAAAAAATGGTTTATGCAACTTTACTAAAGAGACTAGAACAAGAACCACTCAGAGGAATTGTTGGACCAGATTACGTGACTGGATCAAATCTGCCCAGTCATTCTGATATCCACATCTCTTGTCTTACGGGATTAAAAATCCAGGTACAGCCTAATGTAAGGCATAAATTGTTCATTTCCATTGTTTTCATGTGTTTCATTATTTTTAAAAATATGGTCTTAAAATAAGTATAATCTGAATAAGAGGAGGTACCTATGAAGAGGACTGATGCCTTAGTGAGAAGATACACCCTTAATGCTCTACGGTTAGCTTAAATGGTCTCTCCTCCAAATACATTCAGAGAGATGGTTGTTGTATTATTATCGTGAAAGCAATTCATGTAACAGGTGTACTGGGTGACAAATGTTTAAAAAGTACATGTAGATCATATCCTTTTTTTTTTTTTTTTTTGTAGATCATATCCTTAGGGAAATTAAATAAGGGAAACAAAGCCAGTCAACACAGTTATAAATGATCATATCGCAATAGATTAAAATTAACTTTATAGTCTCCATTTGTATTTTATAAACACAAGAAATTAAGAACTGGCATATGTATATTATTGATATACATGCTCTTATATTGGCTTACTGAATTTTTCAACAATTACGAATTATTGGGATCAATCATGAGGGATAGCTAATCCCTAAGGAAGGTCCCTAGTGTACAATCAGAAGTAATGATGGGGAGTGACACCTCCCAGTGCCCCATTTCTAGGGCAAGTGGAGACGCCTTCATGGTCTCAGAGCCAGGCCAGGTGGAGGTGTCCACATGGAACAACAAGCCGCGTCCACACAGACTGTGGATTGAAGCTATAGTACAGATACAAAGAACACCACTTCCCAGAAAAACGTTCACATTTTACACAGTGGATTCTTTATTTCTAATGGAATGTGACTTATTACATTTCTATTACTGATATGCCAGGCCAGTGGGGACAGTCCAAAAAGCAGACAGGACATTCAGTTGTGTGCATGCTTTTTTATCCACTTATGTTGAGAGATAATCAAAGCAGTAAATTCAGTAACTTATAATTAAGAGCAAAATCATCATGCAATTTTTAGAATATATCTTCAGTGCTACTCACTGCCCTCCCCGTGCCATTCCTAGTCCTTCCTTCGTATACCTGGAGCACCTTCCTGTTCACTTCTCCCCTTCAGGTTCTTTTTCTCCATTCCATCTGCAGTAGCCGAATGACCTAGCAGAGAGGCTGCCTTACCTCTCTGCACCCAGACCTGAAGTAGGAGAGAACCTACTCATTATCATCTAGCACTAATGTAAATGGGGTGTTTCCCTCCCAGGATCTTTGTCTTTTGATAGAAATCACTGTTCTGGTTCTAACTGTGAAATGTCACTTGTCTTTGAGTAGGAAGCAGTCTACTTCACATGACGGGTTTTCCAACGTCTACACATGATTTAGTGATTTGAAGTCGTGATCAAAAATCTGCTCACTCTAGAAAAGAATTAAGAACATTAGTTTTTAGTCCATTTTGTGTTTTTGAAATCATGCTTTTCTTTCTGAGAGCTGGGAGAAATAGATTAAAAGGTTTTTTTGAATTCGGTTCTTCAGAACTACCCTTGACAAAGTACCTGAAGTAACTGAATCATAAATACGCTTTTACATCATACGATTGACATGATTTTAAATTGTGTATAATATACACAGCAGTATGTTTTTTATCTTCTGGAGAGGAGTTTCAGGGCTTCTGGCTTAAATAGTTTCCCCAGCTGTATTGATGTAGGCTATATGAGTGAAATAGCGAAGTGTATTTAAGTCTATTTAAGCATATATACTTTTATAAAATAGCGAAGTGTATTTAAGTCTATTTAAGCATATATACTTTTATAAAATGTTAACTTTGTGTTAGTTAATGGATTAGCAATACCTTTGTCATAGGTAGCACTACTGTATTCAGAGAATTCTGATTATAAAACCAAATTCTATTTTGAAAGACATCCGGGCATAATATTAAGATATTTAAAATTTTTTTATATTTTGGAGTAGTTAAAAAAATCTGACTTTTCTCGTATTTTAAAAATTTTCTATTAGCATTGTCTGAATACTGCCAGTGCTTTTTCTTTTTAAGGGATTCTGTTTCTGGAAATTTATAAGCACATTGCAAATTTATAATCCCATCTTTTCTTTCCTCGACTCTGTGTACAGGGCCCTGTATATTTCCTTGAAGATGGGAAATCCACTATCTCACTGAATGACGCTTTGATGTGGGCAAAGGTGAACCCATTCTCACCATTAGGGACTGGAATACGACTCAACCCATTTTGACAGAAAGTTTTTCTCCTTGTTTTTTTTTTTTTTTTAAAGTCCTTTTGTGGGTTAGTATTACTTTAGCCTTTGTTGTCCAAGAGCCAAAGGTTGAGGGGAGCGGGGATGGTGGGGAATAAGAGTTGACTTTATAAATTAACTTCAAATAATAAAATATTTATATGATTTCACGGAAAAATAGATGTGTCCTTTATAAAATAGAATAGCCATATTAGGGAGAAAGATAATATTTAAATTATAAAAGGCTGAAGTATATAAAAGAGCATATATAAGTTTCATAAAGTTACCAAAGTTTCATAAAATTACCAAAATATTATATTGTTGAAAACATTGAAACATATTAAATAATGTAACACCCACAATAGTGCTTGACATAGAATAAGCACTTACTGAATATTGGAATGACTGTTTTGACATATCAAAATGTAAGGTATGTATGACAGATCTTCAAGTTAACCAACACCCATACTGTCCTCTGTAAAATATATAGTAAACCAGTCGTTTCAGTTCATATTTAATAAGTTTCCAGTAATGAGTTTGATATGTATCAATAAATGGATACACAGTCAAAATACTTCCGAGTTTTATTATTTTTTAAAGAAAGCATTACCAAGTCTTTTGAACTGAAAGTAAATGTCCAGTTATAAAGGAATAGGTTCTATAAGCATAACAAAAATTGAGGAGTAAAAAACACAAATGCAGTTAAATCTGTATGAGAATTTACAGGTATGTGATAATAGTTTTTATTACCATTTAATATTTACAGTAATTTCTAATTGATTTATATTAACTCTATAACATAATTTATTTGAAAAAATTAGCTTCAAAGAAATTTCTGTAAGTACATATTAGTTGAAATTTGGGGTATATTATAAACTCAAGTTTTTTTTAAATATTAAAAGAGCAAAACTACTAAAAAAAAAAAAAAAGCCTGAGAAATGACTGCAAGTATTTCAGTTGCACTAGAATTCTCACTCAGAGGTCTATGAAATTAATGCATTACTGGGAAGAACGGTACTTTGATACTCAGATTGTTTTACAGAATTTATAATATAGATGTTTTTGTCTTACTACAGAGTGAGTTCCTATAATTAGAATAATTGTGGTTTTTATTATCTTTAAACTTGTTGCACTTAAAATAATTTTAAAATTTTCTTTAACAAGATTCTTAAAACAGTAAATAATATGTATTATGTATATATCTATTGCATTGACCAGCTCTAACTGTCAAAAAGATGTTACGGGCCTAAATTCTATTTTATAAAAAAAATTTAATGAACATATAGAAGAGAATGTATGCAGTGCATCAAAAGTATGAAACTTTTTTAATCCTTAGTGATAGGCATAACTCAAAATTTTTTAGATGAGGCGGATTTTTCATTAGCATGTATGTAGTAAAATCTTTTCATTCGTATATAGCAGTTGAACTCCTACTATAATTCTCCTTATTTTTGTTTTAAAATAGATTAAGAAGCCTATATTTTGTGCTTTAACTGCTTTAAAAGATCCACTGACTGTAAGTTATACATATATAAATGATTGTTTCCTTCTTCATTTTAAATGAATGCAGGAAAATATTTTATGTATAAACTATGAAAAATTCATATAACTCTTTAGCACATGAAGACAATAGAGGAGTAACCCAATTTGTGTCTAAAATCTAAATTGGATTGATTCAAGTACAAATCTGTTATTCTGACTTCTACAGTGTTCTATACCTTATTACCAGTTATAACTATGAATTCCTCATAGAACTGTGTCATTTGACCATGTCAGTTTGCATCTCTTGTGCCTTAATATGAAAAACAAAGCAATTTTTTAAATTTGTAGGTTTTCTATTGTTAAATTTCATATGTATGAAACCCAAATAATATGAACTTATTTTACTACTAAGAAAATGTCTATATTACTGATGTGTACAAATTATTTTCCAAGTTTAATTATGCTTTTATGAAAGAAGTCTCATTAGACAATGGTTTTAATAGCATTGGAAAAATATTTTGCCTATAAAAATTACCAGATGGTTAACACAGTTGCGACATCAAAATGAGTTATATCTTGTGAAAATATTATTTTCATGTCAATCAAAATTTATATATATTTATTGTCTATATTTCCATGAAATCATCCAGAGGTGTTCAGGAACATCATCACAGTAAAGCAATGACTTTTATTTTGTTGTCCTTATAATAGGAAGATTGACACTTTTTCAGTCTAAAGTCAAGAGGCATTCTGAATATAGTAAAGCCTCACCAATTGTTTATAAAACTTAGGGTTTCTTATTTAGTGTAGCAGTAATACAGAAGATATCTTCATTGTCAACTCTTACTAAGTTTTTATTGTGCCATATCTTTGAAACATTTATTCCTAAAGTAACTGATGAAAGTACTTTTATGCTAAATTTAAATACCATAGGACTGTGCTTAATGTGGCCTGTAGTTATCTAGATTTTTATGTATATAGGTATGAATGTATTTCAGGTCCCCTGAATTTCAATAAATACCACATTAAAACCAGACATGACAGTTAACTGCTAAGATGAGCATCAGTATTGTCCTCCAAACCACCACCGAGAGAACACTGTTTCTCCATAAAGGCTGGGTCTGAGTCATCAGAGATGTGAAGGGCTTGAGCTACCAAGTGACTACCTTACTTGGAAACCTAGAAAAATCACTTTGGACTGTCAGGAGGAGGATTCCCCAGGAAAAACTGACTACAATAAACCCTAAACTAATGAATACTAACAGCGTATCCAGAGCCTTCCGTTCGTGATAAGTGTTCTGTGGATTGGAAACTCTCCTAGAGGAGGCGCTCTAGCTCCTAGAAAAGCTCCTTGCTTCCTTCTGCCACAGATCGCTGGTGAAGCAAATGGCCTTCCTCAGATCCGCCTGTAGTGTTGGCCTCTCAATACAACTCCTCTTCAGGAAGCTCTTGAAGCTGCCGCTTTGCCTATGCCTGCTACCTTCATGTTCTTACGCACTCTGAAGTGAAACTTGTAAGACAAGCTCATCTTTTCCACAGCTCTCCAAAGGCCCCGCAGGAGTCCTGGGAACTTACCATAGTTAGGCCATGAGTGATTAGCTTTTTCAGGAGATTGAACATACGGTCAAGAGAAGAAAAAAGAAACTTTTAAAATGACTGTTTATCCAAATCTAATCCTTCTCTCTGGATCTTTTCCCCTGCCAAGGTTCAGAAGACTTGTTCCTATAACCCTTTTCTAAGGAACTATATTTTATGGGTTGAAAGTTATTCTCATAATCTTCTACTTTAGATTTGTCCCATTAGAACGCAAGGTTCACAGATAAATAACCTATAGCTGGTAAGATATGCATTTAAACTATACCCTTTACCTCAGATAAAACTGGATTCTAAACACACTCCCAAGAAGTAATCCTATTTCATCGGGGCTCTCTTTACTTTCTTTTACTAAATATTACCTGCCCCAAAATGTGAAATTAAACTGGGAAGTCTCTGGAGATAGAAATTCTAATAAAGCCAAGCCTTCAAAAATGCAGAACCACTGACAAGAGTTTAGCTGGAAATTGACAGGCACGTCATGGGATTCCGCATTCGAAATACTCCTGTTGGAAGTCGCAAATGAAACTGTTAATGAGATAGCATAAAGGTATGAATAATTCCCATTGAAGAAAAATGTCTGCCTGTGAATATGAAATTATAAGAAGGTAAGAAATATCATTATTCTTTCAAGATATCAGCTCGCTTTGGTTTCCTTCTACTGAAATTATGAGGAGTGGAAGCAACCAGTAGGAAATGTTTAATTGACCTGAATGATTTGCTAAACACCAGAACCAAATTCCAAGTGAAGCACAATTTTCCTTTCCCACCACTCACTATCAAAAGGGACACCTATTTTTAAAAAATGTTTCAAGCCAGGCTATTTATGGGGGTAAACAAGGTTCTCTGTGGGCCAGTGTATAATAATAATCATTCAGAATAAATTTGTTTATAAATGCATGTGATGTGTGAATATATATCAGGCAAAGTAGTAGCTCTTTTCATTTCTAATGAGGAAAATGTATTGCAAAGTAGACTCACCATTCCTACAGGATTTATGAGAAATAACTTTTACTTGTCATGGTGAATTATGTTAAACTGTACCTTTAAAATTATTCTTGCTCATTCTGTGTTATTTGATTTTGTATTTTTAACAGTAACCGCACGGGTGTTTAATAAATGGTTGTTGAATTGAAAAAGCATGTTCTTCAGCCCGATTATGGATGAGACACCACTTTAATTTACTAATATATCCAAGACTAGGTAATTCTGTCCCCTTAATGTGGCAGGAGATGGTGGCATCGCTTCTTCAAAGCCATTAGATGGGTACTTTTCAAGCTTATTTTTCCTCGTTTCTGATAGATTTCCTGGCAGATTCAAAAGAACATCTTCCAGCTTGCTTCACACACGTTTCTTAAGTGGATTGCCACCAACACCTGTATTTCCTGGAATATTTAAATAAACAACATTAAAATCAGTTTGTGGTTATTAGATATTTGCACAATGATCAGTGTTTCTAACACGCGAAACATGCAGAGTGCTGGGCAGCAGGCTGAGCGCAGGTTCGTCCAAATGCCTGGTGAACAGAATATTTAAAGCATGCGTGAGAGTAGCCGTAAGTAAAAAATCTGAATGTCACCCACTTCCAAAAGTCATTAGCCACGCCTAAAATAGCCAGGGCTGATTTGGGTGTATCTGACACCAAATATGCCTCAGTGATTTTTGGACGTTGCTTCTGAAAGCAGCTGAGGCAACTGCGCCATGATTTTCACAGTGCCGAGGTTTGGCAGACACACAGAGTTCATCGTTGAGTTTCTGGAACTCGGCACTGAAGCCTCCAAGCTGCCCAGACTCAGTTTGAACGAGAGGAGCCAGTGACGCCTAAGAAATCCGCTCCCCCCAACCCCCCGCTGGTCTCATATTTGCTAGATGTGAGGTTTAGGAAAACAAATGGAAGAATTTAAGTGTTAAAGAAAACAAAACAAAACAAAAAAGTAATGACCAATCTAGCAATTTTCACCACCTCTCAGATCAGTAGAAGCTTTTCAGATGAATGGCCTGTGGTTTCAGTGTCAATCTTAGATGGTAAACTGGGGCCCAGTTCCTGTGGTCTAGTTCTGCTTCTCCTTCCACTGACTTTCAAATTCTGTGAGCTGAC